ACGATAAAACGGGCATTCTATGAAATATGGTATTGATCTTGGATAAGATAAACGTTTAATATAATCAATTTACGATTACTCAGTTCCTTAATGACTCATCAGATTATTATATGTATTCACTATTCAGGCGAATCAAACGGTGAACACACCTGCTCTAGACATCCCAAGAGTTGAATAAACTTATGCCTTCTTGGATAAACTAAAGTCACAAGGACACCTGAAAATACCGATTGCAATTTTTAGTAATAACCATGGCAAACAATTCTATAACAATGTCGTTATTGTAACAGTTATTTATACCTAATTAAACAAATGAAATACGGTTTGGTTGCCGTGCGAAAATATAATTTTGAAAGACTATTTAAGCTATTGTTAGTTTAGTAGCTATTCACTAACTTACTGCTGAAAACGAAAGAAAGTACTTTTGTAACGGTATGATTGAAAAAATAGTAAGTTTGCCTTACGTGTTATGTTGTTTTTTAATACGGTCTTGAGCACATTCAACTCGTACAAAGTCGTTTGGCGGCAGATGGTGTTATTGTTGCATTATGTTGGTAGAACGCCTCGAAAGTTCTAAGCAATGCCATGTGGTTGGCAACGGTTTTTTTATTTTTAAATTAATGCAAGTACCTAGAAAACCTACATGAGTAAAAAAAATCTTGCGTTTTCTTAGTAGTCCTCTATTCTAACTTACTATAATATTAAAAATGCGATGCGAAGTTTCTGAGAATGTATGTACGCTTGTCACTCTTTTACACAAAAACTATTGAACAGATCTGAACGAAATTTAGCACAAACATAGATAATATAGTCTGGAGTAGATTACTTTAAACTTTTTTTTAAACTTAATACACATAGATTACTTTTTATCCCGATAAAGCGGGAAACGTCGCTGGCACAAGCCCGTCGTTTATAATAAACATGATAAAATCCGTGGAGGGATATATTGCACATAAAATATGTATAGGTTAAGTGCAATGAAATCGAAAAGAAAAAAACAGTGTTTACACTATAATATATTTAGTGCCGAAAGTAAGCGACTTAAAGCTCCTTACGTAAGTTAATGTTCACTTAAATGTCGAGAGAAAGTGAGACCACAACACACTGTACTGAAATAAAACTTATATTACCTACTTTGTTTGAAAAAATATTTTTAATAATATGTTTTATTTTTTCCTACTGTCTATTACAATAAAATTTTTATGATCAAGATAGTAACATTTTCCTTATTTCCTTAATAATCAACAACACAGATTAAGTGAAAAAAATTAAGATTATTAAGATAAAAACTACTAATTATTGGCTGTCACTTTTTTAATTTTATACTCTATATTTCATTGTAATCATCATTATATTGTTTTTTTTCCTTTAACACAATGGGGAATATAATTTTAATTGTATAGTTAATGGACAGCAGTAAATAATCCAAATATAAAAAATAAAATAAAATGTAGGTAGACATGACCTGAAAAGTCAAATAAAAAATGTTGCAAAATGAAATGAATCATATTGTTAAATAAATAGGTTCATATTATTTAACTGTATAAACAAGTTCAATAATGTTCTTTGAATAATATAATATTTGTTCAAATGTAAACTAAAATTATAGCATATTAAAATGTATTGTTTAGACTGGATTTCTATAGCATGGCATACCTACATCAAATGCTATAAAAAAACAAACCAAAGTTATTTTTTTTTAATCATTTTTTTATAACAAGTAAATACAACATAGAGCTACAATACCAACAAACCAGGAAATAGACATGGCACAGGTTTATAGTAATATATTTAGTTTTAAATGTTATTGTAATTCTAAGCAGTTATTTAGGGGTAATAAGTGGAACAACCTTTTTATGTAAAATTTATTTAAATTTTTAGCAATAAAATTTTGTCTTTTACAATAAATTAGTAAAGTATTGCTTGCTTGCAAGATAGCCACATGGTGCAATAAGGTTACAATTGTATGCATAAAATTAAATTATGCATCAAACATTCTGTAAAAGATAAATAGTTAGGGAAATTACCTAAGATTAGATCTTATTTATTAAATGAATGAATGAAGTATTATTTTTTTTATAATTAACTATCTCGGTTATTAGATTGATGCAAAGGTGTTATGTTTTTTTTTCAACTGCACTTTGTAATGCTAAGTTACCCTATACTTAAATGAGCTTGTCAAATCATTTATCATTTTTTTATTTATTTTTTCCCGTTTTTAAAATCATACTTTGTCCTTATGGTTACTTAGAATTAATTGATTTATCACCTAATAAATATTTGCGCGCGCCATTCCATGCAGTTATGTTCGTACTTCCTGTGGGATCAGAGCACATGGCATGACCACCTACCTACTTGTTAACAAACTTTTAGCCAACTTGAAATGTGGGTAAAGATGCTTAGCAAAAGATATATCTATTCATGACACACACGAAGTGTGTCAGCTGCATTCTTCGTATACAGTTAGTTATAGCTTCGTCCATTCACATCCAACAAAACCACAAGATACAGCGAAGAAATTCTGCCGCCGTTTTTTTATATGAATTTTATAAATTCCTCCCAACCTTCATTTAATTAATATATTAACTGTTGAAGAGAATTGTTTTTATTTTCCTAATTTATTGCTACATGTACTGTTTTACAATTAAACTTACCTGAATTGCTCTCATTTTCATCTTGTAGTGCTTCCTTTTTCTTGCTTTTGAAAACGATCTTGTATACAAAATGCAGTATAACACAGAAAAATAATGTAATTCCTCCTAATAGGAATACATTTACGTTATGACCGGCTAAATTATCGCCCATTTTCACACAATATTCTTCACGAAAACGTTTTAATTTACGGAATCGAAAATCACGACAGCTACGATCACGCGGTTACAAAGTCACAATAACTGACCACAGATATTTTTGCTGTTTCTCTCCTACGCGAATGAATGATACAAACGGATTACATTCATTCAATGATTGAATGAAATAAAATTTTATTCAGTAATTCGTACTGATGCAAGGTCGACGCGGTCAATGAAGTTTATTTTATTCACAATTTACATATCCAACAGCATGAAAACCACGTGGTAGTGATTATTTACTTATCATGATTTATTCAATAAAAGGTTATTTTAATCTGAAATGGGATCATACCAGTTTCGATCATAGTTCGCTCTCTTTCAATTTTCTTTCCTCTTATTCAAAAAAATATCCTTAAATTCAGTTTTACGTATGTCTCATTTATTTTATTTTATTATATAATACCGATACTACATACTGTGGTATCGATATTATTTCCTTGTACTTTATTGAAAGAAAAAAATGTTATGACTTTTCCCACCGGGGGTGAAAGGAATCGTCAGATTCATACTAACTACAAATCATCTCGTTTGTACTCCTGCTAAAAGATAGGACCCTAGTACTCCCCAAGGTCGTCAGCAGCCCCAGTCGGGCTTTATGGTTAACTGATGAATCATTGAGACACGCGCGGTACGCGACACTCCCCTACGATTGGGTCTGATTGTGGTACCGCACCAAAGATGGCCGAAAGTCGTCGCAAGATCCCCGACGTCCGGAGTATCCTCTGCGGTGGGGAAAACCGAAAGAACCGGGAAGTGAGGAGGATCTTTCCCTTATGAGTTCCGCCTCCTCCTTAGGTAGTATGAATAACTGCTTCGCAAAAGGAGCAGACGTTTTCTCAGTTCCCGAAAGTTTGAAGCGAGAGGTCGCCGTGCTCAGCCCAACCAGGGCACACCAGAATCTTACCGTATTCCACCGTGTTCGAGACCCGGTTTCCTCCAGCTAAATTCTCGAAACTTTCCTGTCCGGTAAGCACATGCGTCAGATGGTCAGGTGGATCGTGCGGAAACCTGAACTTATAATTTTTTACCTATAAACTTGAGTAACTGTGCTGATTATAACGCTCGTGCTCAGAGCTTCTCCGTGTGAGAAAAGAGTTGTTCATCAGTAGGCACTTATATTATTATGCTATATTTTGATTGACCCTAATAACTCGAAATGCTCGCAGAAATTCATTTTTATTTTTCAGCAGACGGATCACCTGAAGGTACCTAAGCAATCGGCGTCACCCATGGACACCTGGAACACCAGAGGCGTTACGAGTGCGTTACCGGCATTTTGGGGATTACGAGTTTGAGGATCGTTGGGGATTCAGGGATTGGGGCTATTGGGGAAGGGGAGGGTAATTGGGCCTCCGGTAACTTCACAAACACGACGAAACACAACGCAAGCGTTGCTTCACGTCGGTTTTCTGTGAAGCCGTGGTATCACTCCGGTCGAGCCGGCCATTTCGTGCCGAAGTATGGCTCTCCCACACTTAAATCCCACACTTTTATAAGTTGCTACGAGCGTTTAATGTGCTTTTTCTCCGCTTGTGTATAGACAAAAACCTTTTTGAAATAACGTAACGTTCTGGCTTGAAATAACGCACAAACAGAAAATTGAAGCCAATAACTTCTGAACAAAAAAAAAGCAATCAAAATCAAAACAGTACTGAAAATGCCGAAATAACCATAACCAAATAATAATCAATAATAAAAACAAAATAGTATGCCGAGAGGAGGTAGAGGTAGAGGAGGAGGAGGTTTCAGAAGCAGGTAAATCGTTTTAGTTTAGAATTTTCTTTTTTTATAAAGAAAACATATTTTATTGCCTCTAGCTGTTTATGTACGACACTCCATCTTAGTCGTATGTGTTTATTATATGATAAAAATAATGGAGTTTAATTATAATTTCAAAAATAAATATAAATAAATAACTTCCGCTAAAAGTATTTCAATAAATAAAATACTTTTTTACATTGCTATTTTTTTACGCGATTTGAAAAACAATTTAGAAAAAGAACGCATCCATATCTTTATTGCCGTGATGTTGGTATAACTGTCAAAATGTTCTTTCTCTTTCTGCCATGGCATTATAGCCGAGTTTAAACTGAGATAGCAATAGTGATTCCATTTATAAAATATTCTAGAAAATTTGTTGTTCTTCAGTTGCCACACATCATTGCTAGAATTTTGACAGTGAAGCCACGAAGTGTCAGTTTTATTGGAAGTGTTGTTCTTGATTGAACACGAATTCTGTGTAATCGCAAGTAAATAAAGTATCTATAAGAATGCCTCGACGTGGAAGATCAGCAAGCCCACCGCCAGCTCCTCAAAGGAGGTAAGTTATGTCCTTCACTTTGAAATTACATTTTATTTCATCATGCTCAAAAGATAACCTAGCGAGGTGTTTCTAGGGCTGCACCACCACCAGCTCCGAGCCGCGTCCCTGCTCATGCCCCTCCATCCACCCCAGCTCCGGCAATGGCTCAACCCCAGCAGCCTTCTATGTTTGGGCAGATGGCAGCCACGGCTGGAGGTGTCGCCGTCGGATCAGCAGTGGTGCGTAATTTGTTATTACGTAACGTAAACATGCATTTTTGACCTTTAACTTTGAATTTGATTTACAGTGTAATTTACGTATTCATATTAAAATGTGCTATTATGCCTCTTTTTGCAGTTGTATTAAGTTTGGGCTAGGAGCCAAGCAATGTGAAGATGGTCACATGTTAGTGTGACGTTATCATGAATCAGTCGTTTTTGTTTACATGAATTGACATTATGCACAATAAATATTATTATTGCATGTTTTATTATTGGCATAATGATAAATGGTTTTTCTTTCTAGTGAAATTAATACTGGAATAAGGAGATGTTGCATTAAAGAATGTTTTTAAGGATTTGTACAAGTTTACATGTTTTGCTGCAGGGTCATGTAGCTGGTAGTGCCCTCACTGGCTTGTTTAGTGGAGGCAGCAGCAGTGAGCCTGCACAGCAGCAAGTGCAAGCGCAACCACCTGCTCAGACTCTCAACCAATACCAAAACCAGACTCCCCAGGGTCCTTGTGCTTGGGAGATCAAGCAGTTCATTGAATGTGCTCAACAACAGCATGACTTGACCCTCTGTGAGGGCTTTAATGAGGCTTTGCGTCAATGCAAGATTAACAACCACATATAAATTAATTCCTCAAGGTGCCATTAGATGATAATTAAATTATTGTCATAATGATTTATTTTACAACACATCTTTTTATGTTATACAAGAGATTGTATAAATCTGTCTTTAACATAAAACTTTTTTGTAGTTTAAAAACATTTTATTTAGATAAACAAATGGGGCACCTACCTAGTATCTATTATTTCTGACTTAGCTTGAAGAATTCCTACGCTTCTTAGGTTATCATGTTGCAAATTGTTAGTGGTTTATTTTTGTTTTGTATTTAATATTTTAAGACACTTTATTGTGATGTAGAATTCTATAATCTGATTATATCTGTTTCTTTTACTTTTAGAACAATAAAATATACAACCCAAAAACCACAACTTGTGTTTTATTTATTTTGTAATGCCAACAAATAATGGGGAACAATTTCATACAATTGTGCAATAAGCAAAAATACATACAATATTATTCTTTATGCTGATTTAAGATTTTACAGCCATACTAAAGTGCTGATTGTCAGCTGTAATTGTCAGTGTTACAGCTTGAGTTGCACACTAATTACTTCAAGGCGTAGTTATATATATTGCAGAATATTATCTCAAATCGGCCAGTGGGTATGGTATGTATAAACCACGGTACCTACCTACGGGTGCACGTCTACGTCGAGCTATCGGCACGATTCAGGAACGTATGTCGTCTTACCTGTAGGTATAGGTAAGACGAGCATTTCTTGCAAACATGCCGAAGGCAAGACCAACCCTAAATTTATTTCCAGGTACTACACCTGGAAATAAATTTTTCAAGGCCGATCTAGTTCTAGGACATAAAGTGAGACTGAAAGACGCCCTAAAAAATTAAACAACTATCATCACAAGACATCCAATTGACTTCCAGACGGGCCGGTTGGGAGCGACGTTCATCCACCGGCCCTTACTACCTTTTATGTATTATTTGGTCATCTAGATACACGTTGGAGGTGGACATCCTGTGATGTACTCGCTGGTATGTGGCCTACATTCGAGAACCTTTCTGCCCTATTGGCCAGCGCCCGTCACTTCTTCGAACTTTAGTTCTCAACTAAACGTCATGCTTTGCTGCCTCAGATAATATTATAACGACTACCACGGTCAAAATTTGCTCTCCGTAGTTAGTAGGCGTAGGTTCTAGGTTGAATTCAAAGTGGATATGGCTAGCTATATGCAATATACCCACAGATAACAGGAGCATTTATCACAACCTGCTGAAACTGTTCGTAAATTTCCACGGCCCACCAGTTTTTTGACGATGTAACTATTCGATAAACTAGTAGGACTTATCCTAATTTCATAGATACTAGGTGATGTGAGTCACGAAATTACAGTCCAAATGAAGAACTGATCTTTTCTGGAAAAAAGACAGTTTCAGTTAGGTTTGCTACCTACGCTACGCAGCTGACGTTATCACAATTTAGGCATAGCATAGGTCGGAACTGTTGGACCATCGCCAAAATTTTATTGCCAAGAAAGAATATTCTGGCACGTTATTGAACTATGAACATGTTTTCATAAGTATTTTTTATGCAATTGATTCCAATTTTGGCGTTCCTGACATATGAAACTCGTACCTACTTATCCAACTAACTAAGTAATTCTTAGTGTTTATGAGCTGAGGTACCTGAGTCATAAATGAAAATGGACGACATTAACCAAATTATCTTTCAATTTCATCACCCTACTCTTTTTCTTCATATCATTTTATCATACTTAGGTATTTCTTTTCAACAGTACAAGAAGGTACTCCTACAACGAATCAGACACTTTAAAATTCTTAGCTTTATATCAGAAATTTGAATTTCTAAGTAAATAGGAACAAGTAGTAAGTTTAGAACCTTTGGGGTTACTATTATAAGCCCAGCTACTTATTGCCAGCTACGAATCTACCTACTCACGTAGTATAAAACTGGTAAAATGCTAAATCTATCTATAAAATCTTATTAAAAAAATAACATTATTGAACTTGCACCAATATAAATCGATTGATTTTTTATAATTCAAGCGCCTGATTGAATCAAATATTTAAGTAGCAAAATGTAGATTTAGGCATATCAGTCGTGGACACAGAAATATTATCTACAAAGTGAAGCAAGTTTTACTTTTAATAAAATGAAATACTCGTGTAGGGACTGTGTAGTTAACTAAGAAAATGTTCCCCAATATTGGTTGGCTAGTCTAAGAGTCGAGTCTGTAAATGTTTGTAAGACGTTAATTGTTAAATTAAGTACCTAAGTACCTACCTAATTAAATTGCATTGCAGGCTCTACTCGAAATAATTAGGTACAACAGTCTAATCAACATACAAATTACAATAGAGAAATATGTGTGGCAGATGTGAAGCAAGAAAGAAACGGTAGTACTTGATAGATTTTGTCATAGTACCTAGGCCAGAGACGTATTAACCTTTAACGTCACGGGCGGGGTCTACGCAGACCCCACGTGCTCTTTTTTAACTGTATTTTTTCGAATTGACAAGCTACGATCACACCATTTTGGCTAATCTCAGTGCGCTGCCGACGCTTTCGACGGGTGGACGTACGTGGCGGTGCCGCTAAGGTAAGTATATTTTTTACTCGTGTGGGGATACCTGTGGACCCCACCCGTGAATATACGTAGTAACTTTTTTCACTATGCCAATTTTTCAATTTGTTGTTTTTTCAGAATTACTGTTGAAAACTGCAAAAATGAGTCGCCAAATATCAAAAGACGCCAATTTGACCAAAGATATTAGACCTATAATATACAAATTGATCGACAAAGAAGAGCCTTTGCCTAGTTCAGATGAGGCTGGTCCTAGTGCTCCAAAAATGAAGCGGAGGTGCTCTATTTGTCCAAGGTCTAAGGATAAAAAAAGCACTATTGTTTGTAGATCATGTAGAAAAACTATTTGTAAGCCTCATTTAGTAGCAATTACTTATTGTTTGCCACGCCAACCAAAATAATTATTTTTTACTTTAGCGCCCAACAGTGATATTGAGGGGTTGTGATTTTTTGTATTAGTATGATTATTGTTTAGTTTTCCTTAGATTACGTTTCTTTGTTTCCTATTTTATTAGAAAGTAAAAATATATTAGTCAAAAGTTGATAATTAAAAAAAAATTAAGAACATTAGTTAAGTGCTTTAAAAATTGCTAAGTACAAGATGTTATTTCGTTAAATGTTTTTTCACTATGTAAAGACTGATTGTTTTGCTAATAATAAAAACTTTTTATACGTATTAATATGTCTTTTCTTTTAATCTAAATGAATATTTAAGATTTTTTTAAAAATACGCAGCATAAATGTAAAATACTTATGGGGATACTTCCGGACCCCACGCGTGACGAAACGTTACCATAAACAACGCGTGTACTTAAAGGTTAAACCTAGAAAGCGCCTCATAGGCGGCCTGAATTTTCTACCACTACTGTTCAAATACTCAAACGCCATTCAATTTTAAGAAGCGCTTTAACTATATAGTTCTGTCACTACAAACTGTTTGTAAAATGAAAGAGATGGCATTTATTAACTTAAATTTTTATATACATGGTTGAATTTTGTAATGCCCCCTGAAGGGGAAGTGCTCTTAATACTTATGATAGAAAATTTTACTCAGAGAAAACTTTCCTTTATTTTTGAAAAGAAACAAAACTGCATTCAAATATTTTTTAAATGCACTTGCCGCACAAGGTAATCGAACCGACTAAAATCTGTAAAAGTTGTACCCTGTACATTTATTGCATCGATTATTAGTGTCAATAAGTAAGAAATCTCTCTAACAAACTTCATAAATTTAATGAAAGGAAAACAATGAATAAATATTAAGAGTACTTCCCCTTCAGGTGGCATTACAAAATTCCACCCTGTATATACTAAGTTTAACTTAAAATTGAGGAGCCTTTCAGTATTCGTGGAGTTGAGCACACGCGTCTCACGGCGGCCCTCTGTAACCTTGCGCGCCAGGCACTTTCCTAGTTTGCCTTAGGGATAATACAGCTCTGTACCTAGGTATTAAGTGCCTATTAGGTATGTTACTACCCTAATGTGCACCGTTTGGATACAGTGGCGGTTCACGGTACTCACGGGGATCCCAACATGCTCCCGCCCATCCACCGCCCCCGGTTTTCACACCCATGCCGCCACAGAGATCTATGTTCAGAGATGCGGCATCTATCGCTGGAGGTGTCACCGTCGGCACGACTATGGTACGAATAACGAATCAAGTTCTTGGATCTTGAAGTCTTAAAATTAATTTTGTAAAAATGAACTGTATTTGTTTTACTTACTTTACACTTGTACTAAATGTAGGGATTTATAATCTTGCTGCGCAGCCTCACACAGGGTCAAGTTGAATCTATTGCAATAATTATAATTTTGTAGTCACAATCAATTGGTTGTGACTACGTACTAAGTACGTAACTATGTAGGCATAATAAATGATAACGTCACACTAATCAGGTACACAGAGTTAGAGTAACATTGTTTAATAATAGGTATTTGTTTTGAATTACCAATTGCAGTGATTTTCTTAGCAAGTCAGTTTTGCTTTGCTTCACAATTTTTACTTTTTAGGGCCACTTGGCGGGCGAAGCTTTAACAAGCCTGTTCAGTGGTCGACGTAGAGAAGAAGTAGTGCACGCCCTGCCACGGGACTACCAGCTAGGATCGGAACCAAGCGGCCCCTGCGCGTATGAAATATCACAGTTTCTGCATTGTGCAACTAATAACGAAGACATCACACAATGCCAGGCATACAATGAAGCACTGAAACAATGTAAACAACACTACCGTAAGTATTCAGTGCATACAGCCTATATGTACCTTTACTTCCTAACAAAGTTCTATATGTGCTGACTACAGATACATAAGAACCTATACTATATGACATAGGTTGTAATTTCGTTTCGGTATTCCTTTCAGTGAGCTGTGGGATGGATAAATGTCGACTTCGATGTTTAAACCTACTAAAAATGCTTTTTATAGTCTCTTATAAAAGACTATCTATATTTAGTCCTTTCTTTGTTGCAGGATTACCTTAGCCATTGACCAAGATAGTACATAATAACAAAATTACAAAAACAAACCAATCAGACCTCAAAATGAACTTTTAAGAAACAATAAACCTTTATAAATTATTCTGGTTTTTTAATACTTTACGGAACCCAAAAATGAAACAACAGATACAGTGTGTATATGTATAAACTTAAATTTATTTACACAAAAAGTACACTTGTGACGTTTTGCAGCATAAATATTCCAATGGTATAATAGATATAGGTAAACAAAAAACAGATTTGTGTCTATTTCAAGATTTCCTTTTACATTCCTGTATTTACAAAATTAAATTAATAAAGAGATATTTCATTTCTCATGTATCATATAACTTTGTGCCTAAATACACGAGAAAAGAAATACATGTCATACGATACTTATGTACAAAATGTATGTACACCAAATAATTATGTTTCAGATAATTACAATTTGGCACATTTCAATTTGTGGTTCATCTAATATTCGTAATGCGTGACTTACTATGAATTCTTTGGGCGTGCAAAACAATATTGCTTTGTGAGATTACTGACCGAAAACAAATACAATAACGATTAACTTTAATAGAATTGTAAGAATATATTAACTATTGGGAAATCAACATGTGTTGTAAAGTGATAATTTAATTATAAACTTTGACAAAACATGAGCAAACTTCATACGGAACAGCGGCCGTGGTTAACAACATAGTGTAGACAAGATCAACATCAAGTACATTACATACAATATACATAAATATAATAAATTCAACAATTGTTCAAATCAAGTTTGTAAAAGCTTTTCGTTCGATTTTAAAATGTGATCACTTTCGCTGCAATGCATGCATTGCTTTGTTAAAGTGCACTGATATTTGATAAAGATCAATGTCGTTTTTTTCCTTATTTACTAATAACTCCATTAACAGTACATTTTAACGCTTAGCTAAATCAGTCTAATTCTTAAAGCGACATTAATGTCTAACAATAAAGCTTAAACAAATGCTATACAAATCATACACTGGAAATTTTCAAGTACATAATAAGGCCACCACTATGTATTGTTAATTGTTATGCAAACTGATTTACATCCAAAACTAAAGATAAAATTAGTAAAATGTTAATATTGACACGAAACTAATTTAATGTTATTGGAATTTCTTCAGGATCATACAATCAAATTTTATTAAAATGTAATTTAACTTAAACAGAGGCGGTATGTTATTCATTACAATTTACACTGAAAATATACATTGATTAATTTATATTTTACATAACAATCTTCGTAGTAATTATCGTTTCGTTCCTTTACACATTTGACGAGGTTTAGTGTAACTTTTAGTGGTAGAATAATTGACTGATTCAATAATTTAAAAAATCAAATGATTTCATAATGATTTTAGCTGCAAATCATGTTTAATGGTCCTGCCAAATGCAAATATTAGGCCAAATCAGATCTAATTTATAATTGTGTATAATGTTCAAGTTTTATTTAAAAATCATGATAACTGAATTCTAAAATGTATTTTATAAACACGTAATATGTAAGTGATTGGTCAAGTCGTCCATAAAAGGGCACAACTAGTGTCGCTAAAGAACGTAAAATTACATTATAATGTACCCTAAATATGAATTTACCAACATTTCAATAGATGATCACAAAATAATGCACCACTTCTCAAGTGTTAATACTAAACCAATGTAAACGTCGAGCCAGCGCATAAGTAGCTCCAACTTCAAAAAATAATTTAAAGCTTCGCATAATTTTACAAATGTAAATATTTGTGTCACACATCAATATAATTTCAGTGCAATGCTAACGGACGTGTATAAGTGTAGTAGCATCTTCGTATTCGTGTAAACCTTAACATAACGAGTCTACGTATTAGCACTATATATACAGGCCGTCGACAAATTTAATATGACACGTAAATCGCCGAGTATACACAAAATATTCGCCGGGCGAACGATCCCAGGGGAGCGGCGAACTCCCCGAGTCGAGCGTAGTAGAGCGGTCACAAGCGCATCTCCCAGAGTATGAGGTGCGCGTCCTTCGGGTTGGGGTCGGCGGCCGGCTGCGGGCGCTCGGCCGCGTCCGCCGTCTGGCGCCAGTCCACGTACCCGCGCCCGCCCACCACCGTCAGCACCGAGCGCCGCGCCGCGCTCGCCCCCACCACGTAGTCCGCGCCGCGCAGGCTGCGCCCCGCGGACCCGCGAGGCTCCGCATTGCCTTCCGTGCGACAGGAAGAACGCTCTGACGCACTGGACTTGGCCGACGATGAGTCGGGCGTGGATGCAGCCACCGGAGCCAAAGCAGCCGCACCTGATGCACCCGAACTAGTCCTCGACACTCCACGCAGTGCCATGGACTCCTCACTGCCCGACGACGTACATAGGCTGGAGGCGCGGGAGTCCACCGACCAGCTTGATAGGTCCAAACTACGAGGTCTACCAGCACGCATGCGCAAGCGTCGGTCAAGTGTACTAACACGGAAAGGTATCGCGGCCAGCTCGGGGTCACTCCTCCTTAGAGCCTCCCCGCCCGAGCCTCCCACGTCAGCCTCGCCGACACAGTCCTTCACGAACATCAAGTCTCCGTACAACCCGTATACGTCACAAGCGTTCAAGTTCGCACATTTTGGTAATGTCTTACTGAGACGCACATCGCCTGGTTTCTTCCGTCGCACCACAGTTGACTGCACGCGCTGCGGTCGGTAAGGGCTGGCGTCTTCTGATATCCGTCGCTCTAGTTTCGGTTTATCATTATCTTCTTTACCATTCTCTTCTTTAAATTCATGCAACGTGTGGTTAACGGTATCGGCGAGAGCACGAGCGTTGGATAAATTCCGCCGCACTGTATTTACATCTACATCTTTAGTTTCCGGCATCAATGAAAGTAGGAACGACACGGGTCCAGCGTGGGCGTGGTACGAGGCAGCGATGTGTCCACCTATAAGCGGGAGTCCTTCCAGCTTGGGTAGTGGTACAGTAACACTGACTCCAGCCGTAGTGCCGACCCACAGTAGTCCCTGGCAGGCGAGTAGAGCGGACACGTACGCGGGTTTGCTTCCCTCTCTAGCACCAATCGTTTTCGCGACATCAGCAGCGATGTCAATGTTTTGGAGGTGTTCGAATGTTTCAGCGTGGTACAAGCTGACGTAGGTGGAGTCTGAGAAGGCGGTCCACAGTCCGACACCGGAATGGGCGAGGTACTTGACGGATCGGTCGCCGTCTCCTTTGAGCTCCAGTATGCGCATGATCTCCGCGGTGAGTGCGTTGATGGCGAAGACCCTGCGCGCACAGGTCGCGTATATGATGCCGTCCACTGGCAGCACGCAGTGCACGGGCCGGTCCCCGAGCTCGATAGCGAGCGGCTCCTGCAGGGCCCAGGAGTCATCGTGGTTCCGTCGGTACACTGACACTCGTCCATTAGCCAGTCCTACAAACATGGCGTCACAATGATATCGAATTTGCGTGATAGCCGCGATCGTTGGCACTTCAGTTAACTTTTCTTGCTTCTCGGGTTCAACTGCAGAAAATATAATGATTTTCTTGTCATCAGTTCCGAGCCATACGGTGTCACCGCAGAGTGTTGTTACTTGTCGTACTCCGCGCGCGAATTCCATTGAGGTAACCTGTAAACGATATAATTAGTGATGGGTTAACTCACGGATTTCTATCTACTTATTTTAAGTCCAGTTTAAACTGTCAAACACCAAGCGGTCACAGGTGACCGCAACCTATTGTTCTATAATTGTGTCTATAAAACCGGTACTCGACGAGTTAAGTGTCAAGTTCTGTAAATTCTTTGTAAAATGTCAGAGATCGGAGATAGCACGATATTTAAGTACTTAAAATAGAGTAGCCGTTTAATATTCGTACGTTACTGACGATTGCCTATGATAGACGGATTGAGTTAAAATGTGGAAAATGTATGGGGTATTAGTACCTTGGTATCAGGCAGGTCCAGTGTGACGAGTGTCTTGAGTTTGGCAGCGCGGTGCGTGAGTACTGCGACGTGGCTGTCACTGGCGCCGCCCGCGCTCACCCACAGCAAGGAGCGCGCGCGCCGCAGGGGGCCGCCGCGCCCGCCGCCGCACGACGTGTAGAAACATCCGCAACGAACCTATACACAATTTAGCATGATTATATTGTACTTACAAATCAATAGGTTGTTTAAACAGTCAAGATAGCTGATAAAATCTGTATTTCTTAAAAATCCCAATTATTAACTAAAAATCGTAGGTTACTCACGTGAATATACTGAGAAAAGCTCTACTAGTTTCGAACCACCCGTGATACGTGAGTAACCCGCGATTTCTAGTTAATTTAGTATGTCTCACGATAAATATTATAATAACAAACCCATTTATGTTGCAATCAATCACATCATATATGACTTTAAACTTCCGAAATAATGTTAGTTGTGCTACAGAAAAGTATTATTCTATAGTAATTATATAAAAAATATAGGTCTTATTCTATAGTAATTAACATAATATTCATAAAATGGCATATCAGACTACATAAGAAACTTAGCAATTAAAGAAAACTACTAGGATCAGCTTCACTACTAAAATTGTACAAATTCCAAAGTCAACATAATACATAATTACAAACCTCAGTAAGTTGCTTTGACGAATACACGGGTGTAGCAGCGACAAACAGTGGCATCTTATGCGCCGGCGCAAGTTGTGACGGGAACCTCCACGCGGGTGAGTTGGCGGAGGCCTGCGCTAGTTGGGCGAGCCTTAGCTCCGTCGCCCACGCTAGCCTCGCACCCGGCTCACTAGCGCGGAAGGTCAATGGCTCTTCACGACCTCGTATCGTCAGTTGCAGACAGCAAGAGTCTACCCATGCCATCTCGTCGTCTTTTTTCTATAATAAAGATTGATGTTAGTTATGGTCAAAGTAAAAGGTCTGCAGAACTTCATTTTAAATTTAATAATCTTGGAAGTCATTATGTCTATGTTCAAGAGTAAACGACTTTTCGCTGATTGGACAATGATGAATCACTCAGATTCAATTGGCGACTACAAGGTGCAAGCAATATCTTGATGAGTCCTATTCTAATTCAATTCACTTTGAAAATAAAACTCAAGCTTGTTAATTAAAGGTGTGGTCATTTGTGGATGTGGACAAATAGGAGCGATTTATTTAAAGGAGCTCCTACCTGTATACTCCTCTGTATGTTCTGCAGCAAGGCTCGGAAGGTGTCTGCACCTAGTTCAGGGTATGGCGCCCGCAGTGACGCGGCCAGGTCCGCCATGCGAGATACAGTCTCATAGTCATGCATCAGCGCTGACATCTCACTGCAGAGGGAGTCTCCTGTCGATGTCGACATGCTACTGCTTGAGCTGGACCGGAGACTGCCACTGCGGTTCATACCTGGAAGATGGGTAGGTTAAGTTATTGGGTTTGCTTTTTATACGATTATGGGTTTTTAATTAGCTTTCATTGAATGTTTGAAATTAATGTCTGAAATAAAATAACTGATATTTGAAATTTCGTGAGACATACTAAATTAATTATTGTGTTTTCGGCTTACTCGCGTAACAGAGGCTGATGCTACTACTTTCTGCGACAGTCGCCGCTTCGCGGGTCGCGGAATACTGCCCATGTATATGAGTCTCTAGCGTGGCTTGAAACTAGTCGAGTTCCTCGTCAAACAGTTACGTGAGTAAGCCGAAAACATAATAATTAACTGATATTAGCCCAAGATCTCAGATGTTAATAGAAACTACATAAATAAAAATGACGTTAAAAATCGATCTTAATCCACATATTGGACCTATATCGGTTATTAATTTCGGTCGTTAGTCAATAGGGAGATATATATAAATTACATTTTTTTATTCTTACTTATTTATAGGGTTTTTTCTCAGCAGAAAAATATATTTATATGTAGTAGGTAAGTTAAAATAACGCAACGCTACCGCGAGCGTTTACCGCCAGGATTGTTAGTGTAGCGCGAAATCTCTTTTTCAATAAACTATTTGCTAATATGTAGTTTTTGGACATTAAAAAACAAAACTTTGCCACACACTAGGATTTTCTCCTGTATCGTGGGTGCGTTTACAAACATACAAGTTCACATATACACCCAGACCCGGAACAATAATATGTGGATCACACAAAGAGTTATTCCGTGCGGGAATCGAACCGCGGCAACCACCGCGCCAGTCGTGCAGTCAAACAGCTACAATGATTAGAAAAACATGACCTCATTAGCGTGAGGTCGTTCGTGCCATCTGCCGAGGTCCAGTTCCGCCGCGACAGTGCTACATACCTTGCGCGAGCACCCTGCTGAGCGTGGGCGAGGTGCCGGTGTCGAGTACGTCGACGTCCTGCACGGGGTGCGCCCACTTCAGGCCGAGTCGCTCCGCCTCCTCGCCCGCCGCGCCCACTGACACACACACCACCAGGTCGTTCAGTAGAAGTAAACGACGTGGCTTGCACTTGGTGAGACCGCCTGATTGGTTGAATTCCTGCAAAAACATGAGTACGATAAATAAATCAACTTGTTTATTATGCATGGATGGTAGTGATAAATTGGATATGGTGGAAAACTTAGTTCCTTTAAATCGAGAAGAGATATTACCGAAGACAATCTTGTGTTTTCATATATTATGATTATGAGTATTTTTAATAGCATAGAGTGACAAACGAGCAGACTGATCACCTGATGGTAAGCAATTGACGCGCCACCCATGGATATTCGGTAACACCAGAGAAGTTAAAAATGCCGACTTTGTAGGAATTGGAGATTTTGGTAATAGTATTGTTTCAGTCTAATTTTTTTTTAACGGGACAAGCCCGCCACAACCTCCCAAAACCGCTGCAACTCCTGTAAGCCAGGATCTACAGTAGATACAACAAGGTTTCAGTCTAATTAAATATGAACCTATATATTTTATATCTCTAATAATTTCTTGTTTTATTATATGTATAATTGACTAACATGAACATTAACTCGTCGAGCACCGTATTTATAGACACAATTAAAGAACAATAGGTTGCGGTCACCGGTGACCGCTTGGTGTTTGACAGTTTAATATCGCACCCAACTATTGTACGCCCAATGGGCAGGTCACAGCTGAGCTCAACCAAATTATGATAACAACTATTATGTATCTACCTGTGATCTACAATGAATTTATTTAGTTATTGGTACAAAATACTGACCAACTGCAGCAAGTCGTCCTGCCGCAACAGATGTCGTTTGTCAGCCCGCGAGGCGAGCAGTCGCGCGGCTCCGAAGCGCGCGGCGCCGCCCGCCCCGCCCGCGCCCGCCACTCCGCCGCGTGTCAGTCGTCTCAGAGCCGCACGGAATGCCTGCAATGATAATATACAGTAAATAAATGACAATATGCACTTTCAAAAATTTTAGTAGGGCCACGGATTCTAGAAGTATGCCTAATGTATGGTTACAGATGGCCTCTATATCCTCATAGGCTTTTACGGAACGGGGTGGTTTTTAGTGAGTAAGAGTCTGACACTCCCTCCCGCCTCACCCAGGCAGGAGCAGTCATTCTATGATTTTCTCCCCTTAAAAAAATCCTCATAGGCTAACCCCTAATTACATAGGACGCATAATTAATTAAAACTCGGGGTCAGGCTTACTTAAGAAATAACAGGTTCATGTTTACCTGTGTCCGTTCAGCATCTCGCTTCCTTTCATTCAAGGCATCGGCTAGAGCTTCTAGCCTCGTCAAGGCACGTTGTAGCGCCACTCGGTCTAAGTGTCCCGGTGGCGTGTGTTTTAATAAGTCCTGCAAGAATAAACATCACCTTTAAAACTTCGAAAGGATTATTTTTTTGAATCTGTTTTAGAGTGTCTGAAAAAGGCGAGTTCAGTTAACGTAGTTTTTTATGGGATAAGCCGGTAAAAAAGCAAGAGCATGGACACCCGGAACACCACAGGCGTTACAAGTGCGTTACCGGCCTTTGAGGGATAAGGAATTTGAGGATTGTCGGGTATTCAGAGATTAGGGAGTTTTTTTTTTTTATTTAAAAAATAAAGTTAAAACACCTTGCCCACACTAGGATTATCTCCTGTGTCGTGTGGCGGTTACAAACATACAAGTTCATATACACATGACACCCAGACTCGAAACAACAATTTGTGGATCACAGTGTTGTTCCGTGCGAGAATAGAACCCGCGACACGTTGCACGGCAGCCAGTTGCTCAGCCATCGCACCAACCGTGCAGTCAATAGATTTAACATCTGTCGATTGTGAGATTGGGGAAGGGATTTCATATCTGCAATTAATATTCATTTGTCCGTTCTAAAGCTACTTACAGCCATCGATATCCGATTACGATCGTTCATCAATATTGATTATTATGAATATTTGTTTACATTATAAATTAACATTTGATGGTCAAGTACTAAATACAGAATAGGTAAGTACATAGTAAAGGGTAAATCACCCCGAGTACCTACTTAGATTGAAATGCACTTGCCTTATCTATTCTTTTGATTATTCCGCATTCATGTATCTGAAGAACATATTACTTTAAAGTACTCGTCTAGTATTTCCTTATTATACCCTTATGGAGATATATGCAAGACACAAAAATAAATCGCGAATCCCTGCGTGGTTTGGCCACTGCTAAAATTTTGTATTTAGTTGACTAGTCAATAAAGTTTATATTGCTATAAAAAGAAAGAAGTTCGCGGGCAATGTGCGGTGGCTGCGTCGTCAAACTAGGCTTTAATAAAGTCTTGTATAACTTTATACTTACTTGTAAAAACATGATAAATTGAGGAAACCGTTGCACAGGTTTGACCATGAGACCAAAGAATGAGAGTCGGTCGTGAGCGCTGATCTGCTTCACTTTGAAGAAGTCTGCTAGCGCCGACTTGCGTTTCGACTCCATCTTGGCCAATTCCATAGCTACCGAGAAGTTATTTATGAAGTCCGAGTACACGTCCAACACCACGGCTTTTGAGAACGCGCTCAAAAAGACCTCGCCTGTGAAATAAAGAAAAAATTTAATTAATTAACACAAATGTGGATATTAAACTGTCAAACACCAAGCGGTCACCGGTGACCGCAACCTATTGTTCTATAATTGTGTCTATAATGACTGTATTCAACGAGTTAAGTCTTATACTAAGAATATTTATCTATTTATCGTAACTAAAATGATATTAAAAGCTCCAAGGTGAAAACAAATCTTCAGGATGTCATTTTTTTTAATCATTACTGCAGCCAATTAGATGATTATACCAATACCCGTTGAACTTTAAGAACAAGTACAAACTAGATATAAAATCAGCCACTCAATTCATCATTAGTTTATATTTTTTACACATGGTCCTTCTAATTTTTTGCTGTGTAAAACAAACTAACGACTAATTTATATATATTCTGTGAATAAAGTTTGTTTTTGTGACAATTATCGAAGACATACGCATTAACTAATACGGGTTTAAGTCGTCAAAGCGAGATACTAAAAAAATCAATGACGCCGCCCGCATCCATTTATTTACACTTTACACGCATTGAGAATTTGATAGAGAAAAAATTAATGTGAGTTCTTTGATCTGCTAATTACAAATAGTCAACTGACTACTTGAGGGAGGATTTTTATGGAGTCGCAAGGTCTATACTCATTGACGTTGATTAGCGGTAATTTTAATTATGTGCTTTTTGTCTAACTGTAGATTGAGAAATGCACGCAAGCATGAGCGTAATTACTGTCATATTACCAACTATTGTGTAATAAATATGAAGTTCTCGAGCTACAGAGAGAAGATCCAAAAATAATTTAATTGTAACATTGGTTTACCTTTACGAGTCTTTTTTTAAATGATTATTTTGTTTAAAGATCCAGGGACTAAAACTCCCAAAAGGTTATACACCATCTTAAAATTAAGACTAAAAGTACGTTCCGTACTTGTGAAACAAACTTAGAGCTTAGTGCAAGGGCTATTAAAGTTATACCTAATTCTTAGCATATTTTATTACAGGTAAGGCTGTATGGCGTACTGGCCACAGTACACCAATTAGCTATTGCTTACAGTTTAAGCCATAGCTAAGTGGTGTATTGTTAGAAAGATTTATTTCCAGAAGCTCACGGTAGACGAAAATAGAGCTTAGAGTGATGATATTAAGGGCAATATTTAATTAATAACAAGGCTATGTATGTATAAGTGTGTAATATTTACCAATTTTTTCATCGCGGTCCCACGTCCGCGCACAATCAGCCAGTGCTGTTCGGAAGTGTAGATGACATTGCAGTATGTCTGGTAGCCGGTGGAACAAGGTTTGGATCTTGCTGGCATTCAGAATCGCTGGACTACTCTCCTCCAGGGGTTTCTTGTAGTCCTGTAAACAATGTATAACAAATTAGCTTTTGCTTTTAGCACGAAGTATTATAGTAAGTACGGGTGACAATTTATAAAGAGAGGCTGTAAATATACATTGCCTTTAACGTAGTTTTAAATGCAAGAAATTAGATTTGATATGTATTTGCCACATTGCTTGAAAGGAAATCAAATAAATGATAATTGAATCAGTGAACTAGTTTTTGTATTAAGATTAGCTTTAGAAACTTGTTGGATAAGAACTTTTTGTTGGTATTAAAGTTAGCAGTTTAGCAGTCTAACATTTAAGTTTTGGAGACTCGTTTTGTAGGTTCAACTTCCTGTGCCTTCTTCATTTATATGGACACCGAATTTATTTATAGTAAACATAAAATATTACCTTTGTCTCTATATCAATACGTACGACAATAAATCCGAGTATGTACTACAAAATCACAATGCATTGTTAACTCGTTTGTCATAGAACTTACTAAACAGATACGAGTAAAAAGTTGTTCGTCCCTGACTTGCAGTAATGCCTGTAATATAGCGTAATTATACATACTAATGCACCTGCATTACCGTGTTCATTTACATTCAACGATTATATCATAGTTTGCGCCAAGTGTTATTTATTCTCTGAAAACAGACACGACGAGAAAATTCTACTGAATTCGTCGGTTTTGTCATTCAGTTACATTTTTTAAAAGACGCTCTCTGTTTCTTAGAAACCAGGGTAAATTTAAACTTAATTTCAAATTCAAACCCCTACGCTACGGGTGGGAAAATTCCTTCATTTTAATAATATAATTTCGCGGATGATTTTTATTAAACACTTATCTACCGACAAAATTAAAGGACTACAAGTTTAACAGAGTCCAGGCAGCAGTGCTAACTGATTTACATGAACCTTTTATGCGATTTCCAATTCGCCTGTCATACCTAAAGATATAGTAAGATCTCAAGTCGAGGAGGCACATAGTCTAGTCTAGCATGGCCTGACGCGGTCTGTTGATGTTCAGTTAAACATTGCAATCATGCATACACATACTAGTGTAAAAGCCAATAAAATCAATACCAGACATTTCAAGCATCACTTTTTGTATTAAATAAACTTTGTATTGCAAAATAAAATAAGCGAAGTCCGTCAGACATGTTGATTTTATTCAGCCTTGTTTAGATATAAAAACTGTAAGCCGTCATATGTTGCGTCATATCTTATTATAGGCTTATTGAATGTAAATTGTGGACAAACTTATATGGATCTTATGAGGTGGAAAAAATTGTGTATGGGACATTGATTGCTTCCGCGAGCGTGTAACTTTTATGCTCCCGTCATTCAACAAAGAGCGGAGAATACTATTTAGTTCTAAGTTATCTGTGTGTCGTCGTAATGGTCGTATGGTGATGATCTTATCTTATACTATTATATTAAGCTGAAGTTTGTTTGTTTGAACGAGCAAATCTCCGGAACTGGTCCGACTTAAATATATATTTTTGTGTAAATCTCTACTAATATTATAAAGCTGAAGAGTTTGTTTTTTGTTTGTTTTTTTGAACGCGCTAATCTTCAGAACTACAAGTCTGATTTGAATAATTCTTTTTGTGTTAGATAGCGCATTTATCGAGGAAGGCTATAGGCTATTAACGTCACGCTACGACCAATAGGAGCTGAGCAGAGCGTGTGAAACCGCGCGGAAGTAGCTAGTAAATATATATTTTTGTGTTGCATAGTGCATTTATCGAGGAAGGCTATATATAGGCTATAAAACATCATGCTGCGATCATTGGCAGCTGACAGAGCTGGTGAAACAGCGCTGAAGTCGCTAGTAGATTTGTATTTTTCACCATTCCTCTCTTCCCCTGGGTGTCGAAAGTGGCGATTAAGGTACTACATATTTGACAGAAACCGGTCAGCAGCGCTCTCTGATACACTTGAACCTTTTGAACTGCAATCTTATTGTAATAATCGCCTTATGTTTTATAGATAAACTAGCTTAGATAAATATGTATGTGCATTGTTTAATTTCCTGCTGAAACGTCCTTCACAAAGCTACGTTTACGTAATTATTTCTGGATTTTTTTCTCATAAATGGTCATGTTATGCTGGTAGGTTTATTTATGACATAAGAATCCTTTGTACGGTGTGTGCATATTATGTTTCTCAATGGTAACTGTTGCATTGTACTCAATATACGGTCTTAAGATAATTACTTATGAACATAAAATAGTATGAAGATTTATAGCGTTAGCTTTAATTAAAAGAACGGCAAGGCTGTGGGGGCAAACATCGTTCCGCCTATCATTTTTCTCGCCTTTTGAACCTACCCTGGATTTCACTCAAAACCTTTGTTTCAAAGTCTTTGCATTGTTCTTACATATGCGTACAGTATTGAAATATGTATCAGAGACATTGTAGAACATACTTTTTTAAAAAGAGTAACGAATGGAGTTTCTTGCTCGTTCTTCTCCATTCGAATCTACGTTTTGGAATGAGCACCTAGCTTCACCTAGCTTCACTGACGGACTGACTGACAGACTATTATTTATTTTGTATTTGTTGACGTTTCAAAAGTACCAAACTATGGTTTAATTGAAATAAATGCTTTGACTTTGAACCAAAATTAAGCCAAATCAATTCAGCGGTTCTCGAGTTTTAGCGAGACTAAGAATCGGAAATTCATTTTTATTTATATAGATAGACTAGGCTAGATTACGGTCGCAATTTCACTAAAGTTAATAAAAATATCGTCTGCTGGGTTCTATAATATTAATCAGTCAGTGTCATCCCCATACATTTTTCTGCTCTCTCTGTAGACAAGCGCTAAAGTTGCGTTTGGCTAAAGACACAGCAGCTGTAGCCAAATGCCATTTAGCGCTTGTCTACATGTAGAATAGAAAACTAAAGAGATTGACGTAAGTAAATTTTGACACGTGTCAGTGTCATCCCCATACATTTTTCTGCTCTCTCTGTAGACAAGCGCTAAAGTTGCGTTTGGCTAAAGGCAATAGTTAGAGATTGCAGTTTAAGAGGTTATTCGATAGCATTTCTGCCTGGTCTGTGTCAAATTCCCTTAGCCGGGTTCTATCTGTGTGTAAATTCATCTAAATCATATCGGCAGTTTAGCGACATACGCGACACAAACAACCTCGGTAATGTGTATTAGTTATAATACATTTTATTTATTGAAGAACTGATCGTAAACCCAGAGCCATTTAGGTTAAGGATGATGGTAGACAATAACATTAACAATAGGTTTATTTATTCATTTACTCATAGAATACACGAATAACAAGGATAAATTGAACTATCGGACACGACTGACTGTAAACTAATTAGGTTTTATTGTTTTATGGAAAGACATGAGGAAATTTTACTAAGTATACACTGATAGGTCAATAACACATGCGTACAGAATAAAGCCATATTCTGTATTTTACGAAATTATATACCTATAGTTATAAAAGAACTACCTACTTGCGCGCGGTTTCACCCGCTCTACTCGGCTCCTATTACTTATTAGTCGTAGCGAGATGTTTTATAGCCTTCCTCGATAAATGGACTATCCAACACAAAAATAATTATTCAATTCCAATCATTAGTTTCGGAGATTACCGCGTTCAAACAAACAAACAAAAAAACAAACTCTTCAGCTTTATAATATTACTAGCGACCCGCCCCGGCTTCGCACGGGTGCAATATGCATGTATTATACATACAAACCTTCCTTAAGAATCACTCTATCTATTAAAAAACCGCATCAAAATCCGTTGCGTAGTTTTAAAGATCTAAGCATACATACGGACATACAGCGAAAGCGACTTTGTTTTATACTATGTATTGATTATACATAAATTCATTTTTCCCTTGGTCACGGCATCACGCGTGAATGGCTGGACCGATTTCACTAATTCTTTTTTTTTGTATTTGGTATTATTAGGAGAAGGTTCTGAAGGCAGAAACAATCCTGAAAATTCTACGGGAGCGGGAGACAACGGGATTGCTCGTACGAAGTGGCGGGCAGAGGATAGTTACATACGCATGTATAAAGGATAATTAGAGCATTTGTTTTTCCCCGAAGTTCTGTTTAATTGTATTGTAAGTACTCTATTTTACCATTGACGTTAATAATACTATGTAATACAAGTGGGAAGTTTATGTGACAAATGTATCATATTATTGCCTTGTAAGGTCATATTTATGCTTTGTGTAATGTTTCAAAATCATTCAGTTGATTTGCATATTAACTTAGCACATAAGCAATCAATTGACTTACACATGTCCACACATCAATCTATACAAAACCAGTTTATCCTGGTGTCGCGTCGCATCATCTTTCCGCACATTTAACGTTCAGTTTATACTGGTTATGTAAAGCTCGATGTGTAGCCGTGTGTACAAATACTAACTTTACAACAATAAAATACAGTAGCAAAGAGACAAAACTATATGAGTTCATAATATTAGTCACATAAGCGGTATTTTAGAAAATCGAGGACAGCCTTTTGGCGGTTTTGGAAAAGAGATTCGCAAACTAGGATGCGTTGAACTTTCTATCGCGACTGAAGCGTTTGTCATACACAAACACATGCAGAAACATGTAGATATATTCATTGGAGATGTCCCATGAAAACGGTGGACAGTATTTAGAACAAAAACAGTAATTTACTACATTAAACACAGACCAGTGGACGTCGGCGCCATTTTCATTAGAGACGACCTCGTGTACCGCTTGCAAATAGTGGCTATTCAAATTGCCCCACTTCCTAATATGCTAATCTATGGCATGTGAATTGTGGGCGAAACAATACCAAAGTGGGCCAGACAGGTTCATATTTACACACACTACTTAGTTGACAGTACTGACATCACAAATGCGACATCTATTTACCCATACACATACACACTTACAATTTTATAAAATATAAATATAACTGTTTGTGTTTAAGAAAAAAGAAACGAAAGTTGCGAAAATAATAAAGACTCAATTCGGTTGTTTAAATATAGCTTTCTCTCCTTTGTTTGTTTGTGAGATGTGTAAAATTATTGCAATTGCAATGATAAATAAAAATAAACGTTAATCAAGCATTGGTGTTTAATTAAATATCATGGATATTGATGAAACGATTTCTCCATAAACATTTAAGAATCATTGTCTTGAATAAAACAAAGAACTTCAGAAACAAAATCAAGTTCAATTGGTATTAAAAAAAATTATATTCATATTACGTAAGGAGATGTGGAGTACACGAACAACTTTTCTTCACCCTTATTCTACTTTCAGAACAGGTAATCTCATTAATAACTACAGCGACCAGGGCGCTAACGTCTAACACGCAATTTTGCAAGTCAACTCCTTAATTAAGTGGCTTTTCAAGCCAATCAGGTCTTTAGTGAAACCAAAAGTGGTTCTTAGTGTACCCACAACACGGGTTACGCAATGGGAACTGTCGTTATGATGGTATTATAATTGTAAGTCATTATGCCATCAATCTTAAGCTTCCTTCCCGATCACGAATTTCACCGGAGTCATGTGAAATGTCAGCGTGTTTAGATACATAGATACTAAGATAGTAAACCGGTTCTAGACACGTACTACTGTGATTTAGTTTGTTGACAGTGTACTTATTTCGGCTGACCATAAATGGCCAACGTAAATATTTAGCGAGTCGCCGTGTACGGATAATTACAGATTGTATTTGCCAAAGATAAATGTGATTGTTTTTGCTTGTTTATTTACTGTGCTTGGTACATTATATTTGACCTGGGTAATGTTTGCTTGAGAACTGTACGTATAGTAATTAATTAATTATTAGAACAATGCAGTCACACGTCAATTATGTGGTTTTTATGCGAGTCAGAGACGTCAATCTCCATTACTTATTGACATCTGTCGTGTATGGAGTCATGGAGTTGTCATAATGTAGTTAGTTGTAATGCAAGAATGGTACAAGAGTACCGACAGTCAACACGGATCTTGTATTGGATACTTAAAGATAAAGAGAACAATATTTACAACGAATCACGTAACAGACATTAACGAGTGAGTGAAGTTCGAAGTAGGTATGTTTATCTTAATTATTACAGTCATGTCTACTTCTAGGTATTTAGTCTTATTGTTTGCAAACTAAACGAGCGTGTGACTCTACAATATTAAGTTTTGTGCTGAATATTGAGTACTTGGATTTCCAAAGATTTATAGTTTCTAAGACTTACGTTGATGAGCCTCTGTAAGGTGGCGACGTATGAGTTCTCGCTATGTATGATGGCAGCGACCACATGTCGGCGGCGCAGCTGCACCGGGGACAGGGAGTCCGGTGGCGCGCCCAGCGAGGGCGGCGGCACTCGACCGCCTCGCACTTCGCCGCCGCATGAGAACAAATCCTCCTCCAACTGAAACCATCACACAACACATCAGCTTGCTGCACCACAACACTAATCTTCACAGTACAATTCGCTTCAAGTTTCCGATGACGCGATCCGAGTCGCGTGTCTGGTGAACGCACAGAAATAACTTGTGATTATTCAACTCGCGCTGCTGTAACTCGCGTTTCGAGGACGCTTGCCGGCCGCTGCGTACAATTTCTCACAAACCCGAGACCAGTCGCGTCACAAATCGCGTCATCAGAACCACTGTCTCACTTATAAAACGTAAACGTCAAAAGTAACACCATCCCAACCACGTGACTTACGTTAAAACTTGACAACGAATACTGAGCCTTATCATGGAGAAGTTTCATGCAGGACGGACAAAACATTGTTACGATATCGTCTACAAGCGTACTGGCATTGAATTAACTTTTGACATTTACGAATCACACGTTATTCACGTAGTCACACTAAAAATAAACTGAAATAAGCAAATTACTATCGTGTACATGAATCCAGTATGGTAGCTGACTGGTATCCACTGTGACATCATTATATCACATGTTAAAATAGATTATTTGTTTAGCGACTTAGACCTCCGAGAGGCGCGGAGGCGACGCGCACTACGATACACTCGTTACTGCGGTTTGTTGTTGACTGACTACTCAATGACCCGATCATGATTCATCTGAAATATACATAATTGTGAATCATCTAAGTATATTACACTTGATAATAACGTTACATATTAAACGACCAGTCCTTACACAGGGCCATTGAGGAACTCATTCCAGAGATGTCACTGTCGTCACAACTGGTCGTCCCGGGATGTACTTATTGATACCAGTACTTAAATGCATTCCTTGTACATATGTGGCATCATTGAATGAAGAGTGGTCATTCATACAAAGTGAATGTTGAATAGTAAATACTTGTTATGAGAATTGTGTACTGCGGGCTGATCGACAAAGTATTACGAACTGTCTCATTACTGTCTATTCATAGAAAGCACCGTTCAAACGATAATGCTTTTGAGCTGGAAATAAACCAGCATACAGAGGTAGAACAAGCATTTTCATTGTATTTAATAAATTGTTGAACTTCGTAACTAGAGTTGGTAATTGGCGACAAAACATTAAAATAACCTCCCAGCTCAAGTGAAGTTGTACTAGAGTCTGCATTTATGTAGGTTATTTATGCTGCGCCTAGCATTTTGTAGAACGCAATGTAAATAGTGTTTAAGATTTGCGTATCCGGGAACATCAGGCGTGGTTAAGCAATGTTTATTATTTACGAAAAGGTTCTTATAGCAGTTACATCTATGGTCTCAAGTGACCTAAATACCCCAAATAAAAGATATGCTCCCTGATGCCTGAAGACACTCTTTAACGCATTGATGTAGGAGTACCTAAGTGAAAATGATTATCTTAAACGAAGTGAAACTCCAAGATATTTTTGCACTCTTGAATTTTCTTAGCATACCTATTAAAAGAATAACATTATTTACAAACCTCTGGTAGTTTGGGCATTTTGTCGGACTCGTGGCCATGCATGTCGTACTGATGAGAAGAACCGCGTCGCACGCTGAACCATCGGGCCAGACGTCCCCCTCCTTCGTCGTCGGGTGGGGGAGCCGGCGGCGCAGGAGTCGCTCCACCGCCACTTCGCCATCGCTCGCATAACTCACGAGCGCGGCTCAGCGTGCTACGCAACTGACCGGTGCTCCTGGTGGACAAAATTATTGGAATTAAATTTATTTGTTAAAAAATAATCAGTATTTGATGTAAGAAATATCACAATCTAGTAGGCCTAAATAAGTTTAAAAGACATTTAAGCTTTTTTGATCAGATAAAACCATGACTCCTTCCCCTGGCTCATGCAAGAGCGAGTGACAGACTCTTACTAAAAATCACCCTTTGCCAACTGTAACTCCTGCTTTGACATAGAGCCACGGTAACCATTGCGATTCTTGCAGCTTAATACATTTCAGTATAAGCCTTGAAAAGAACAGCTGAAGTTTACAGTAGATTAATGGCCAACCTTGACAAAGACGACGAATCTCCGCAATAACCTTCTTGTTGACGACAATGTTGTTAACCGAATAATGAGCGTCAGATCTCGGATGATAGGCATCTGATCTCAGTTAATGGAAGTTGAAGATATTCGCGTTTTTGTCGGTTACATACCAACGAGTCGTTCGTGGTCAAATATTTGTACAGCTGTCACAGCTGATGATGTAGGATGCAGTAAAATACCTGAGGAAATGTTGATCTCATGGCTTCCAAGAAAAACGTTATTTTCTAAATGATTAACTCCATTTTCTACCACTCAAATTTTCGACGAGGAAACAGGAAATAAAAGTAGTTGATGGGTATTTCAAGTAGACCAGTCCCTTTAGCTTTTGTGCCGGTGTTCAGCTTGTAGTGACGTAATTTAAAGGATATGGACAATTAGCTAACACGGAAGACGTACATTTAATTATAGAAAACAATAATTACTGGTGAAACTTGTTATAGAAACTAGAGGTAACTCGATGACTTTCTTTACGAGTCTATTACTTTAAGTACAATCGCTAACCATTACTTATGCAACATATTTTTATTTACTATGGCAAATTATAATGTAGTAATAAAGAGGCTATAAAATAAAATACAATTACTTAATAGGCAAATTGGGCGACCATTTAATTGGTATTATCTAATGAATTTCCGTTGATCATTCAACGTAATCCAATTATCAATCACATTATTTTTATTGTCAATACCATTCAAATTAACGATGACAGCAGATGAAACAATCGCCGGAGTGAACAATAAAACGACAATGGAGCAATTAGTTGGACTAAATACTAAACAAAGAATCAGCTGAAGGTTATGCCAACACTGTAGCAAGAGTTATAAAATTATTGAATTATGTATGAAGTCGCGAATACATTACAGCTTATTTGGTGATGATGTGTTGAAAGACTAAATATTGTCTTTGTGGTTGCTCAACCCAAAGCAATCTGCGTAATGCAATTTTTATGATGGGGGTGTCAACTCGAGTCGAGGGCACGCTACCGTATTCATCGCTGTTGCCTAGTGTTTTCCGTCACCTATTTGTAAATTGAACCAAAAAAATATGCACATCAAGGCCGTTTATTGTTTCTCTCAGCTCTCAATAAGTATCTAAATTATGTTGCTAGATATTTTTGTACCAGATATTGCTTAAGCTGTTGCTGCAATATCTGTTTTTGGGGGGATAATAAAACTGTTTTGGATAGCTGAGAAACAAATTTTTCGACATCAACAACTTTTAACAGAATCGTGAACATCTAGAACCTAGATATACCTCATAGGTAAACTTATATATTAAGTTTTTATCAGAAATGATTTCCTATTTGTTCTCACTCACCTTGGGTAATACTGACAGTAGGTGGTACAAACAGTTAACTTTGTAATTATAGTCCTACCTATAATTCGTCATCTTAAATGGTTGTGTGCAAAATCTGACACTTGAACAATATTTGGTTTTCACGAACGACTGTTAGAAAGATGAGTCAATCTTCCCATACTTAATTAGAAACATTAGCGATGTAAATGTAAAGTTAGTACCAATAGGCATCTATTTTTGTTTGGATCCAAAGCATCAGCTAGATTTTGGCAATAAAACGATGTCTGTCAACATATTCTAAACATATTAAGTTAGAACTGACTGCCTCGTTGGCCGAGTGGTCGCGAGTGCGACTGCCGGGCAAGGGGTCTCGGGTTCGATTCCCGGGTCGGGCAAAGTATTACTGGGTTTTTTAAAAAAAATCTCAGTAGTAGCGCGGAGTCTGGGAATGTGCCCGGTATAATATACCGGGCACATTCCCAGACTCCGCGCAATAGGCTCACCCCCTATTACATGGGACTCATAACATAAATAGTGAAAAGTGGGTTTTACTTCTGTGTGCACCTCTGCCTACCCCTTCGGGGATAAAAGGCGTGATGTTATGTTATGTTATTAAGTTAGAAATATAGCTTTTATAGCTTAGGAAATACACGATTAAGTTCAACACAAGTTATAATTGAATATAATTAATTTTATTATAACGACGAATACGATTCTGCGTCTATAATGTATTTAATATTTCTGTGGTATATACCTAGTTATTTTTTGCTGTAAATATTTGTGTTGTCTGAAAAGACTGGTAATTAAATCTGCGAGAAACACAACACAATCACTTCGTATCTCGCGGAACTAAGCATCTGAGCGAAGATAGGGAGGGAGTAAATTCATAAGTAGTTGATAGTACTATTGCAATAAGTGACAGATACACTTCCTCAGTCCTCTTATTACATAAGCCAATTATGCATGGCCTGCAAGGTCAAGTCCTAAGGCCAAACAAAAACATCATTATAAAGATATAATCATAACTGCCAATCAGTTGTAAACTATAAACAAACACTGCAAAAGGTCTAGTGCTAACCAATTATAACATTGCTAATTAGAATCCTGCATTAGAACAAATTACCTACCGAACAATAGAAGCCCTAACAGTAATTTTGAGTAGGGGGTCATAAAGTAAAGAACTTGATTGTACATTGTTCACACGGCAGCAAGTCATCCCTAGTCAATTTTTTAACAGAATTTCAACTGAATTGTTCCACAATAAGGTTGAAAATGTATTAAAGTTTGTACAATATGTAATAAAAAATAACTGACGACGTACTGTCTGCGTCCTGGCAGCTTATCTGTTGCAATGACCCGACTCATAATAAACACTGATACACCTCACCGCTAATGCATCAGTAAACCGCAATACTCAAACGAAGTGTCTTGCATATAAATTCGTAATGTTTTATTAATATCTATTGCACTTTGTCAAAGAAGGAAAACATAGCATCATATGGAAATCGTAATTAAATGAATGGACAAAAGGAACAAACAAAGGCGTTGTGAAGAATTCAACACTGACTAACATCAACAAGCAAAATCGGATGTCAAAAGGAAATTCCTAAGTCATTTGGTAATTACTCAAATACTTTTCAATTTTAGGATGCTAGACTCTAAACTAGTAAACGTTCTGAACCGACACAATACTCAAAAGGCATTTTTAGTAATTTTGCACGTATGGTGTTCCGGGTGTCCATGGGCGACGTCGATTGCTTACCACCAGGTGATCCGTCTGCTCGTTTACTGGCTTATCCCGTAAAAAAACAATTTTCAGTCTCTTCGGTTCGGTTTGGATCGCGACCTCATTCTCACATTTGTCCCTGACCTTTCTCTTTCAGCTATTACACAGCAATCTTTGAAAGACTTCTATGCTACAGTACCTAAATAAAGGCGGAAAGCGACGATAAGTGTATCCCCTTTTGTTTCCAGAGAACCAGCGACATTTATTTTATCCCAACTTATTTTTAAACCCCTTCCACCACCACTTTGTCTGTAGACACATGGACAGAAGCTATTCCAAGCCTTTAACGTTCTCGTAAAGATATACTTAGATTGCTCAGCTATCTACAACCAGAAACAACTTTATTAGTAATCCCAGTTAACTAAGATTTAATCAACAATCAGAATAAGATAAACATGAAGACGATAAAAAGTTCTTCCTGATTGCATTACCATTATCACCGAGTATGAATTTTACATTTCCATTAAGGGTAATTATCATCGATTAATTAAGATTTCCTCTTCGGAATAAACAAGCGCAGCTGTGCAAAAACAGGGACATGATTATACATTCGTGTAGTTTGCATTAAAAAAGTTGTAAAACATTAAGTATGAGGTGTTTCTGCTTACCGTCTTGTACACACGGCTACACATCGACCTTTACATAACCAGTATAAACTGAACGTTAAATGTGCGGAAAGATGATGCGACGCGACACCAGGATAAACTGTTTTTGTATAGATTGATGTGTGGTCGTGTGTACTTTAAAGTGAGGGAAACGAGTTAATGTTGTGCTCTCAGGCGACGCACATGCAATATGACATTAAACTGTCAAACACCAAGCGGTCACCGGTGACCGCAACCTATTGTTCTATAATTGTGTCTACAAAACCGGTACTCGACGAGTTAAGATATAGATCGGAAAGTCGGCATTAGCAATTAGTTGGATTCATATTTCGTATAGAATGTATTTTTTTCGGAAAATTGCAGTGTTTTGATAAGAGAGACAAGTAAACAGTTTTATTAATTAAGAAGAAAGAGCTTCTCAAGTCAAGTCGATCGAAAGATGTTTGCCAAGTTTATTAAGTAATTTGTTTTTGCAAAATTGCAAATCCGTTTACTATGTCATAAGGGTTGAGTCAATAAAATGTACGTAAGTCAACTAATTAATGGAAAGATAAATATGGACATATTGGACATCATATCTACACTCACCCCTTATTACATGGGACTCATGATATAAATAATGAAAAGTGGGTGTAACATTGTACAGTGGCATAATGTGCACCTCTGCCTACCACTTCGGGGATAAAATGCGTGATGTTATGTTGTCATATCTACAACTATATTTAAGACCTACAAGACATGAACTCATTATCAACTTCCTTGTGTTTCATTATCCTTCATATACATACATCCATCCTTTTCGAATCAATATTATAATGAGTGCACTTATAATAATAACAATAAAAATAACCAGAAGAGAAACATTTTGTTATATTATTTTAATTAACAAGCTGCTGAATATTTTTGTTGTTGCGATTTCATTCCGAGATAAGCGAGTAATTGTTTTGTTAATTGCAATCAAATTCATTTGAAACATAATATTATTCCTTTATGATTCAGAATGGGCCAATCTTACGTTGATTACTTAGGCAATATTTATACTGATACTGATAAAAGCGCACTTTGTATTGGCTGGGAGCCAGTGTACATCATTTTTATGGTGTAACACTTAAGATTTTCTTCATCTGAACGTTTTTTGTAAACCACAGCTACTAAAGTAGAACAGAAAGAAAAAGGATTGAGAACTATTACGAAGCTGTAAATGTTTATAGTAATGTTACATAACAACAATACGATGTCTGTGGTTTAGTATAAAAACTAAGGTATTTGGATTTAGACTTTATTTCAGGCAGTACTGATGTCCAAATCTGTTAAAAGAAGAACATAGAAAAGATAAAGAAAGTAACGCAGGAACAATATAATTTTTTTGTCAGGAATAATCAACCCTACTGAGATCAGTGATGCCGTGGAGAACCTAACGGGTTACCGGGGCTCCGGCTCGAAGTGCAGGAGTAGGAACGGGGTGGTTTTTAGTCAGTAAGAATCTGACACTCCCTCCCGCCTCACCCAGGAGGGAGAAATGATTCGATGACTTTTCCTCCTTAAAAAAAAAACTGAGATCAGTGATGTGCTATTTCAGTCCAGCCTGCTTTCCGGCCTGGAGAGGTCCATGTCGAGTAATAGACAGCAACGGGTTGTTGATGATTCGATACTACTGTGACAACAAAGATCGTTAGTAAGAAAAAGCTTCGTAATTTACAGAGACAGATAGTCTTTAAAGACTCTTTGCTCTGTGACACTGAACCCCCGTAACCCTCGTTAAAGACCATGGCTATCTAGGTTGCACCGACTTCCTCATAGCCGAACTAATTAGACATTTTTAGTCATCTGCAATTGGACCAAGCATGACCTTTTTATTTTAGTTCATAAAAAAACTAGACCTAAAAAGTTATTTCCTTCATAAAACATCACGAGTTGTAGAGCTAACAGCCATTTGACCTCAATTAGAGAAAATAAAAACTATAGTCAATGACAAAACAATCAATGTTAATGAATTGCGTTACAGATTAGTTAGTTTGTTGAAAGTTTATTTTATACACAGTTTGAGTGCTATTTAGTTTAAAACTATTAGTTTTTACTGCGAAGGTCGACATGTTATTTCTAGACATTTTGTTATAATAAATAATAACTTTATCAATAAATCATTTCCTTAAACTTTTAGACATTTATTATAAGCAAGCAGGTTTGCAATAAAAACTAGCATGTCACGTTTTTATTTAGGTAATAAATCCGTTGTTAAGTAGTTAGTTTGACTGTTTTAAGTCTAGGAAAATCATAAAAGCAATAATGTTACAGGAAAACTATATCGTGGCGCCTGACATAAATGAGATTATAAAACTAAACATTAACGTTTGATAAACTGTTTGCGCTATTTTATTTTAAAGGTGTCGCGAAGTCGTGGCGCCTGAGTTTTTGTTGAAGTGATGACATTGTAAGTAGACACCGCCCATTATATTTGTAGAAAATAATCGAAAAGTACAGTCAACCAAGTTCATACATGTAACAAATGACTTGGCTAGTCAGTCATACATAAAATTGTTACTTGACTGCCTCGTTGGCCGAGTGGTCGCGAGTGCGACTGCCAGGCAAGGGGTCTCGGGTTCGATTCCCGGGTTGGGCAAAGTATTACTGGGTTTTAAAAAAAAATCTTAGTAGTAGCACGGAGTCTGGAATTGTGCCCTGTATATGGCAATAGGCTCACTCCCTATTACATGGGACTTATATCATAAATAGTGAAACGAGGATGTTACATTGTACAGTGGCATAATGTGCACCTTTTAATATATTTATAATTTGTGTTAAGTTACTTGACATCACTTTAGTATGCCAATGAAATTAAATTGACTACCAAACTCATCAAGAGACATACTATATTTTTACTTACAACTAAACTAACCAAGTATCCCAACAATTGTTTAAACAAGCATCAACATAAAATTAACATTATGGGGTCACGAAGATTCGTTCGAAAATATATTGGTCTTACGAGCTGTATTATCATCGACACGCAAATCGAGGCCTTGACATTATTTTTAATCTTCAGCTTTTTTATGGCAGTCATAAGTCAATAATTTATCTCTTAAATATAGAAATTCTGTCAGTAAGTTTTTTCTAGTTATTTATTTTGGAGGTTTTACCCACATGGATACGCCAACCCCATCGTACCCTCTTAGTTTTACCACTACCTTAAGTAATAATATAACTAAATTCATTTATCGGGAGAATTTTACTGCCAACTTGGATATAGGACTTGCCAAAACCGTCTGTACTAACCTAACTTCTAAAAAATTTAGTATAAACTCTTCAATTAAAAATGAAAAATTTTAAATCTTTTTTCTGTCAGTAAGTTACACCGGGTACATATTTAAGTTTATAATCCTGGCCGTAAGGTTGAGAAACCATTTATTAGCACGTTCCAGTACTATTTTAGGTGTTTTAACGACACTAAAGATTTATTGGATATTACTTTTGCTTTAATAGGTGAGTTTTCAAACCATATTGAAATAAATGCTATTAAAATTAAGGCATGAATAGGATTATATAACATCACTTTAGTATTCTGATGTTTGTTTAACACCATGTCTTTCGAACTCATATGTTTGTTGTAATAAAAATAGATTAGTCATAAATTAGGGCTAGTCGTAGGCCTAACAATGCTTTATTAGTAACCTATTTCCCACAGCCAAGCCTAACATCTTGCATGCTGTTTAGCTCTTACTAAGTGCTGTATGTAAATACTGTAGAAACATGTGGTAAGGCATGGAATAATAACAAATTCTATAGAATTAGTCACAGACTTGTAAATTAACTGAAACTGTCGATTGTTTACTTGATAGTATACAGTTCGCGATCGGATCTTGAACTGAATGACAATAGACGGCATCCATTAAAGCGTGACCGAACATTTTGTCAGGAGGCAGTGCCCTCTGCTGGCCCCTGGAGTTTGAACACAGGAAATTCGTGTTAATTGGCCGAGCGCCGCTCGCTAATTGTCGAGCGAGACTGGACCACACCGCGCAACGACGGGAAGTCGCATGCGCCGACTGTCAACAATGCGCGTGCGCATCATTGGGTCTTCCATCACATATCATTATGTACTGCGTTTAATGTAGCAATTAATTATGAGTAAGTACTTATCCGTAAACACATTCTGCAATAATATCAAAATTAGCCACAATACTTGTTGGTTTCCTTTGTTGAGCCTATTGTGTACGTAGAAAATTAATACGTTACGAAAGGACTATTAAAAAGTATACATCAAATGAACAGTAGTAAATTTATTGACAGTAAAACGTGTTCCATTTTAGATACATAAACATCCACCCTCCTAAAAGGCGAGAATTGGTTCTAATTCTGGAAGTACAATCAATCACACTTACCACTGACAAGAGTAAACGACTTTCTGAGTTTGATTGTACATGTGTAACGTTCGTGCTACTAGACATTATGTTAGTGGTATCGACTTAATGCTTCATATAATAATAATTGCGAAAGATAATATTAATTTTATTACAGCGGCTGTTACTTGAAGCTGTTACTTTAATTATCATGACGTAGGCACGTAACCGTTTAACTGCATTGGTTGGAACAACGATAAATTAGCGATTAATTTATTTACGCAACAAGTTATAAGTAAGAAAACTATAGATTTCTTTTTTTTATCCAATCTATACTAATATTATAAAGAGGAAAGATTTGTACCTATGTTTGTAATGAATAGGCTCAAAAAGTACTAGGCCGATTTAAAAAAATCTTTCACCAATAGAATGCTACATTCTTCCAATTTGACATAGGCTACATTTCATTTTGAAAAAAATTTGGGATCCTTGGTAAAATTTGAACAATGTAACCGAAGGTGTAGAAAATGAGTCTTAAAATGTCTTTCGTCGAATGCGCTGCCGAAACTATTAGCGATAGAATAAAATAATGTACAACAATCTTGAAAAACAACATAATGTCTACAAAAAACTCCGCGGTAGCATATGTCCAACTATTATTGTAGTTATGTCACTACAAAAATCCAAATTTCCAAAAATGAATAATTGTCTACCCCGTGCGAAGCCGGGACGGGCTGCTAGTATTTTATATTTATGTGCATGTTTTTCCATGTTGCCTTGACATTGAATTCAGAGTGCTTCTATTTTAAATAAAATTGAATCTGTATGCATAATAAAGAGGTTTGTTTGTATAATTTACAAATCGAAACTATAAATAATAATGAATTTATTGCATTTGGTTGAGAGCTAGACAAAGTTTGGTAAACAAGCTCATGGTTTTTAACACCGATGTTATATTTCCCGATGCGTACCTATTGAATAGTATCGATCCTTTCGGAAGATTTAAATACCACGTTTGTACCGCAACTCTCAGACCAATGCACAATTGAACCTTATTATCTCCTAATTGAACCTACTACAGAAATTAACTTACGAGCTACTAAAATCGGAAATTCCTACACTATCGTCTGCGAATTAGAACGAAAGCTAAAGGGCACAATCGTGCGTAATAAGAACACTATGTCCGGAGATTCACCGATTCAAAAGAAACCGGATAGCTGACATAAAAAAACAATGGTTCGTTACCTGGAGTCCAGGGTCGAGTTGAGCCTCTGTGAGCGCCGTAGCGGTGTGTTCCGCACGGCGCTCACTGGCTCCTCCCAACTGCCGCCGGCTGACCGATGCTCATCTGCCAAAACAAAACAAAAAATAAAAATTGGGCGTCAGGTATTCATACGTTGAAAGCGGATTATATCGGAGTAATACACAAGCTTTGCCTGTTTCACACTATTGAATATTGTACAAAGAAGCAAGCAAACATGGTTTGTAATAAATATAAATAGCTATTCATTATATTTGAGCTAAGAAGCCTAATTGTTGCGCAATTGCTTCATGTTTATAGTGACCGGGTGTTACATTTCTACGATATAACCAGTAGTATTTAACTTTGAAATGAATAACTCAAACAATATCGGTTGAAAGCCAGTCAAAACATGATTATGATTCCGAGAAGTATTGGGCCCATGATTTATGTGCTCTGTTGCCTTGCGGGCCTAGTGGTCACAAGTTTGATTGAGGAGACATTTTTGGTTAACCGATGATGTATCGCTGGTTGTTTGCTACAAAGGGGATCTAATATTGAACAAATTGTAGCCAAAAGTGATCCAAATACAGGGAAAAACAGTCGCTATATTGTAACTAATATTATTTATTACAATCAAGTAGCCGTCCTTTTGTCACACGTCGTAAACTACCACTGATAAAGCTTACTATTCGTTATCTCAAATATTCAGAGACACACAATCACAATTAGTTACATATTATGTACACAGTTCTGTGAGAACGGATAATATTGACTTAACCTTGAGTCTTTGAAGTGTCGTAATTGAATAAGGGCAAAAAATCGGTAGTTTCGTATAGGGGCTAATTTCCATAGATAAAATTATTACTTTCGGCGTTACAGAGGATTCGAAACAGACAGAGTGAGCATGAACGCAAAGCGAATGTGTGATTCTTTTTTATAATACATACCAATTTGGTACGTAACATCAATTATCTAAGTTTAATTTAGCGTGAAAAGCAACATTGTAGATGGAGAAATACACTGGGAATGTTCGTTGCAAATATTCCTTCCAAGTTGTATCGGCTTCATAAGTCGAAACTCTGATTAATTGGATCAGGGGCCTTGAAGGCGAGTGTAGGCGGCAGAGGCGACCACGTTTTGTAAATACGCCCCAACAGTTCCTAAATGCGACTTTGAAACACGTTAAAACTTCTGCATATAATTTCAATACATAATTTCCAACGTGACCATGATGCATTAAAGTTTAATATTACCATAACTACCTACTTAGCCTGTGTTTCTTTATCAACTTGTGTTTAATTTTAGTTATTTTATCACACTTTCTTGCATTCTTCGTGTCACTATACCGGTACATATCCATCACAGCACGTTACGTAATTGCGCCCTCTATTGCGAGATCAAGGTTCTTGAATTGATACGGTAGCAACACAACACAATGGGTAAATATAAAAGTAATTAAGTACATATTACTATTACGAATAGGAATTAAATTGGTTAATTTTTATCACAATAAACACAATTAACGTCGCCACGTGTCGACATCGCGATGTTTGATCACACACTAACTGAGAACTTCTCAATGAGCTGATGGTGTTCAAGTGACGTATCATGTAGTAAGTTTAACAGAGGCCGAACACTAACTGACCAGGGTTGACGACCCGTTAACGGCCATTAATGACTATTAAATTATATTTGCACATTTTGTTGATGATTTTGTTTCATCGTTTGTTTTGTTCTAATTAATTAATACCTACCTAACTATATCATTTTGTTTATTTTGCTAATTGAGATGTGAAACACATTCGTGAAAGGTAATCAAAAAGTGCTTAGTAGCATATCGAGTATCAACGATTCTATTCTCTGCAATTACAGTGCGTTCTTCAATGAAATGGTAGTTAGAGAGGTATTACAGGTTGTTTTTATTTTTCAATTAATACTGAGGAACGTTATAATTGCTTTTACATTTCGAAAGACGGTAATACAAAAACTTGATGCATTGTGTGCATTTTTTTAGTGGCAACTGGCAACCCTGATTCCAATTGTTATCATTATGGACAAAACTAAGACGTCTACATCCTGAACATTACTGACCTTCCTACTGTTGATATTGTAACCGGGGTGAAAGATAACTCAAACTGACGAGGAAAGATAGCATTTTATAGACCGAACCATGAGAGTTAAAATGTCCGACAATAATTGCTCCGATAATTCTCGAAGAGATACTTAATGGAGCGGTGACAAAGAATTGGTTAATCATAAATTGCTCACGGATACGAAGAATAACATTTGAATTAATAATATTTAATTCACTGTACCGGAAAGGATGGCAAATGTCAGAATGCGTCACACTCACATGTGGGTGTAGCCACAGTTAAAAATCAAGTCATGTTTAAATATTTGTTCAATGTCTTCGATCGACAAATCACGTGCAGAAATCAGTTTCCGTAATATTTTTTGGGACCAGGTTATCTTTGACTGCATTTCATGAATAAATACCCTTTATTTGTAAGTTTACCCAAGCGGCCGACTTTCAATCCAGGTCGAGATTATAATTTGTTTGGTTTTTTTAGTTTCCACCAAACGCAAATACAGGGTGTGTGAAAATCTGCATTATTTAAGCGCAAAATGGACAGTTCCACTTTATAATATAGGCAATTCGAGACTGACTAAATTAGGCAAGGAACTAATAAAGCACGACGGAACGGCACAGAGTCGGAACAATAGTAACTGGGTGGAAGCCGATAACCTCATTAGATGGGATAATCTGATGCAGGTAAATGTAAATAGCGAAATAGCAGGTCCATAACAAGATTCGATTTATGTTCGGTCAGTATAATCTGAGTATCGCAGTGGGTCGAGAATGGCGAGATCTGAAGAGCCGCGCCGCACCCCGTCAGTCAGCTTCATTGTTAGGCCGTCTAGATATTATGATTCATACGGCCATATTATAAGTTTTAGATAAGAATGCTGCAAATAGGGCGTTGCAGCCGGTCGTTGAAGCCGATCATTATTATGTGCTTGACATAATTTCTGACGCATGGTGTGCGGGAGCACACATACTGTATGTGGGCTCATTCTACTGCACATGCAGTACCTATGTTGTTCCTTCGCTTTATCGTGCAGTCGCTTGACGTCAATTCAGGAGTCACGGGGACATTAGTCAGGAAATACAAGGAATAATATCAATTCGGGTGAGTAATTAAGGTAATTTCAAAACACTCGTGCGGTTTTCTCGGTACTCAAACCACCGGATTAGAATAATAGCTCAAATTATTAAAATTAATATTGTACTTATATTGTATGCTATCTGTCTAAACTTTCGAAACCAGGACAATAAAAATGGCCTACTAACTGACTGAATTTAAAGATGTTACGATGATTAACTGCGGCCAATTGTGTTTCGAATTTGTCCAGCTACTACCACAAGTAGATAAGGGCAATGGGTTGATAGGAATTGTCCAATTACGTTTATTCAGATGGTTAAGAATGTCACTTATAATATTGTTCGTAGTGGTTGCCACACATGGGATCCAGCTGGCGACACCTACCTAGCTAACGGTTCCCTCGTATTCATGTATAAAATATATTAAGCTGGTTATGATTCATATCATTCTAGGCTAAATGTGTTTGCCAAAACATTTCGCGAGTTTATCTGAAAGCTGGGCAATAAACGCATGTCGATATTATTTTCAGCCGTTTAACTCGTCAAGTACCGGTTTTGTAGACACAATTATAGAACAATAGGTTGCGGTCACCGGTGACCGCTTGGTGTTTGACAGTTTAAGTGCAAATTAATATAGACATACTCTATACCCACTTATTTTCTAATAGATAATTTTGAACATTGACACAGATACATTAACGTCGAATATGCTAATAAGGCATTGATAATATAATTAGAGTCTGCGGCTTATCGACATAGGCAGAGGCGTGAAGCCTGAAAAGTACATCGAGTAAAATGTAATGTAAAATGTTAATACCTTTAACATATTTCATTGTAGGTTCCTAATTAATAGAATGTAGCATAAAAAAAAGCGAGTTAATAACTTCAGGAAAACAAAAAACATGGATTATGCGTTAGAAATCGTTTAGACAAAACATTACGTAACAAGGTTCGTTTTCAATTACCTATTGGTTTCACCGGCTCCTCTATCACCGGACATAGCTTGACTTTGTTTACGACGATTACCAACGTAAACTGCATTGTCGCACAGAACCGGCACACACACAAAAACAACACAACTTTCTCACATAACTTCTACAAATTAATAAATGCATCGTTCGCAACGTGCAGCGTACTGCACAGTCCCTTCAAAACTAACCCGGATTAACATAATTGGTGCTTGTGGCAATTGCCGAGCCTACCACTCCGCAGCCATGTTGAAAAATTAATACCAACATTGGCTTATGTCCAGTAATTATTATTATCAGCCACGCAAACAAAGCTAATTGTAAATATGTGCGCCTCCCGCATCAATTGAGCGCATCGGAGGCGGCACAACGGGAGAACTTTCTGTGACGGAAATAAACACAATTGTTACTATTTGTAGAAATGGCGAGTTCAGAAGGGGATATTAATCGTTGCGACAGTAAAGGGATAGCTGACATTGTTGTGTATTTTTTATATGGTTTTTGAATATTTTCCATCGGGTTTTTACAGGATTTACGACAATAAAGACTTCAAAGCTTTGCGTGTTGTTCACTGGTTAATTTGCTGAATTGAAAACGTTTTAAACCACCACAAACCTATGAATAGAATAACCGCAAACGAGGAAACACTATAGCAAACTTCATTCATAAGAAACTATGATAGACCAAATGAGGAGTTACTAAGTGACTCCTTTAATGATCTGGTTTAATGTTATAGATTTCCTGAAGGTCATTACGATTGTGTCAGTGATCCAGTTGCTTAAGAAAACTTCGGTAACATTTTAGGAAAACGTTAGTTGGGTGTTGTTGCATTCAATTATGATTTACATGTATCTAATTATAATGAATCTCTGAGCTGAAGTTTACATTAAGATCCGACCGATGTATTTGATAGACGTACCATAGCTTTTATTTGTATAAATTACATCGGTTGAGTTCAAGGCTGATTTCAGTCAGCTGACATGCGATTGATGAGCCTCTCGCTATTGCGTTTACAACAACACGGATTGTTCATAATAATGCATACCACACGCTGGGAAGATATTCGATCCAAGTAATAATACATAATAACCGCGTATAAATATTGCAGAAGCGATCGCGTAATGACAAATTGCTGGGCTATAGCTACATGGCACATGAATTAATACAAACGCACATTCAATAATCAAGACGTATGTAATCAAATAGTCGTGCCAGCAAACAACACGGCGAACTGACGCAGTACGCAGTGGAGACCAGTCCAAAAATATACAAAAGCATATTGCAATGAGGCCAATGAATCTATGGCGATTGCCGAGCCGTGCTCTACACTGATTAATCAATGTATAAGGTTGACTGACGACGGCGGACGAATTTAAATCAACATTATTGAGCTAAATATATTTCCATAAAAGCGTTCTGTGGCATCTAGAGTAATAAGACATAATTGTGTCTAGTCTAGACGTTGAGCGGGACTCTATGTGGGTTTGTAGAAGTAGCGGTGATACGTAAACACTGCCATTTTAGTATAACAAAAATGAAATGCAAAGATGCAGTACATACGTCGAGAGACCATCTAGATGCGTGAGTCAACTACTCGATTATCTTTAGCGACTTAAATTAAACAACATTAACTATAAATACGGACGGGAGTGCTGGGGATTTCTGCTAGCATGGCTATGAAGACTAATTTTAATGTTTATAGCATCCATACTGGGTTGAGCATCTGCAACATTCATCATTACTCATTGTTTGATACTCACTGGATAGAATTGGCCATGTCGTTGTATTGGATCTCCTAGGAAAACCATAGAATAAAATAGAATTATGTTAGTGTGCACATCACGTTTTGATCAATATTGTCAATCATTAAATGTTACATTGCTACACAGTTAGGCACAGTATCCTGGTGCTTTATGGAAGTGGGCTGCTTTCAAGTCAACGGCTAAGTCCTAATTGCAGTTAGTAGAACTGAAACTAAGAAAATACGTGCACTGCAGCATCAACAGACGCACGGTGCAGTACAAACTGTGACGCAGACCGTGCGTACACAAACGTTGATAACAGATAATGTCTTGGTACACTTGAAAGGTAACGGTGAACATGAGTGGGTGTTACTTACATTTAATGAGTACGACCGAGTCGTGGGGCTCGCACTGCACCTGGGTGGCGTTCATGGCCAGCAGCCCAACGCTGCCCGCCCCGCCACCCGCGCCGCTCGCCTCTCTGCATACAGTAAACACAACATTAAATAACGAATATCTCGCATGTATTTCCCGAACCCCCCAGGCGGTGTAGCCAGCATAATGAATATTTCCCTATAGTTATTAACTCTTCATGTTCCTAGGAGAAAAACTCTATTTGCCATGACCTGGGGAATAGTCGTGGCTTTAATCTCAGTGGCGTGTTTCTGAGGAAGGCTAGAGAATTTATTATGTTATCGTACATGTAATAATTACGTGTCCGTGGAACAAATGAATGATCTGATTTAATTGGCTTTATTGTTATTGATATCTACATTATGTACCTAACTAATTTCTGGTGATAAATTAGGTAATTTGCCAAAAACAGCGGTTAGAAATTTGCACATATCAGACAGCAACATTCCAATAACTAGTTAGACATTTGTAAAAACAGATTTCTCTATTGTTATTTTTTTCAGAATCTAGAACATGCTTATCTATTCTATACTGTGACCTAGCTAGAATAATGATTCAAGGCTCGTCCATTTCACAACTAGTACGATTGCATACAATAGACCTGGTTTTGCTTGGGAGCAGGAAAATGAGAAATGACTTTTCATGGAATCAATTAACGATAACAATAATTCTGATAACGAACGGCGTGTACGCATTATTGTAGTAAGGTCTGGTCTAGACAGATAATAGTCGGCTTGTCTGAATTATATCACGTACATAATAATAAAAAAAAAATACTTAATAGTGATTTGTTATTAATCTTTTATCAAAATAGTAATATAATTGAGTGTAATATAATAGATTGAGATGTAATATCTTTGAGTATGGAAAAAAATCTCCAATTATTATGGGATAAAATTCTAGACTAAATTAAAATTTTGGGAATCTTGAAATTGAAAACCTAACGAGTCGCGGAGAACCTAACGGGTAACCGGGGCTCCGGCTCGACGTGCAGGAGAAGGAATGGGGTGGTTTTTAGTCAGTAAGAGTCTGACACACCCTCCCGCCTCACCCAGGCGGGAGCTGTCATTCGATGATTTTCCCCCCTTAAAAAAATAAAAAAAGCCAAGTGTGGATTGAGGTCATACCAAAAGAAAAAATAAAACACTCTGAAGAAGAATATGAAAAACATACAACAAACATCACGCCTTTTTATCCCCGAAGGGATAGGCAGAGGTGAACATTGCGGCACTTAGTGCCACTGTGCAATGTAACATCCACTTTTCACTATTTATGTTATGAGTCCCATGTAATAGGGGGTGAGCCTATTGCCATATACCGGGCACAATTCCAGGCTCTGTGCTACGACTGAGATTTTTTTTAAAACTCTGTAATATTTTGCCCGACCCGGGAATAACCCCTTACCCGGCAGTCGCACTTGCGACCACTCGGCCAATGAGGCAGTTGAATATGAAAATATTACACATATTATCTAAATGTACACGTAGGTATTGTACATCTAGACTCTAGATTCTAGAGTATAGACAACAATGGGAATGTCGATAGATGATGAAATTATCAATAGATGATTTCAGTTTTCCATGGTTATTGTCAGTAACGAAAACATTTCTCCGATGGATAGAGGTTTTATTTACATCTCATCTTTGTAGTGGGAAAATACCGTATTGTACATGAAATCAATAAACCCGTATTATAATATTATGGATGTAAAAAGGGTACTTGCTTTTCTTTTTTTCTTTCACGTTAAAATGGACAATTTCCATGTTAACTATGGTGTTTGTGTCTGGAGTTAAGAAACTGGAGAATTACCTTCCAAGCTCAATAAAATGCGCATATTAAAACTCACGCAACAGCCTTCGCACGACAGCATGAATAAAACGCAAAATTTGGTTCAAGGTCATTTGAAAAAGTTTGGAGACAATACTTTCATGAAGACTATAATCATAAATTATTAATTGTTTCTCTAGAACGTTATTGCCCCATAAATAACTAAAAACTGCTGGTTAGAGCATGAGCCAAAAAGCGTTGTTGATTCGTTAGTTCAAGTAAATTTTTCACAAATTCACTGCCATAGTTAGTTTTTCACTAACAGTCAGCTTGGCGATGATGTAATCATCATCAAGCATGGCAGGCGGATGTGTAATTGCAACATGGCGTCATCAGCGCATAAAAGTGGATGGAAGTGCCAGTGTACCTAAACAAATGATCATTTAGGTAGTTTGGCAGTGACTGGCTCATCGACTGTTCCACTGCCAGTTGCGGAATCGAATCTCTCACGAAACGAAGATTAGAATGAACAACTGGCAATTTGTATACGAGATTTAAGTTTGGAAATGTGCAATAACACAAGAAAATCTTAGAGCAATCAGAACAGAAAAAAAGGGACCTTGAAAACCCAGCTGAGATATAGAGACCTAATTGTTCTGTTGCATAAGCATAATTAGGTGGACTATAAAAACAATTGCAAAAGCGATGTACTTGCTAACTAATAACTGAGCTACGTTAGCCTATGTTGACTTGCCAAGCGTTAGTCATCAGAAGTACTCCCATGTAGAACAAAGGAATTAAACATTGCGACTCTATAAACTAGAGGAATTAATGGAATGGCAACTACATATATGTGTGTACCTGGATCATTGAGCAAGGAATGTTTTATAACGTATTTTACGTCCGCTATTGTTTCGATAAGGAACGGAACCTTAATTTTTGCATAACTCGTGTAAATTCCACATTCGCAGATCAAATTCGCGATTGATTTATTGAAAGATCGATTCATAAACTCGAGAATTTCGCTCCCATGTAGTTACTGTTCAAGTACTTTCTGAATATTTACGAATTCGAATACTCATAATTCAATTGGTAAGCGACATTTTTAACAGCATTTTTTCGTAAGTAATAATATTTTGGCGAACATGAATATTTTCAATGGAAATGTTTACTGGTTTGCTCACGGACGGATACGTTATTGATAGTTATGTTGAGTATTTTAAACGCAATCTGTTATTCATAAAGATTTTTTTAATACTCATTGAATTTAAATCACAATTCGATAACTGAGAGGACACTGGTAATTTCCCATTCTGTAGTCAAAGCAACACAGGAGTTATTAGTCGGGTTAAAGATCAAAAGTCTACACAACAGTTAAACAGTTATAACCAATGACAGGTCGCCTATGACGTAAGCCATGACCCTTGTCTCTGTCTTCTTTCAAATTCAAAAGAATAATAGGTAGCTGGCTATTTGGAATTCAATAAATATTTTTACCTATTTACTACCTAATAGAAAATCTTCCAACAATTATGTTATTACTAGCTTCTGCCAGCGGCTTCGTCCGCGACCCCAGGGGTTAAAATGCCTATGTATTACTTCAGACCATAGTCTACCTCTGTTCCGAATTTCATTCCGGTCCCTTCAGTCGTTTTAATATGAATGAGTAACAAACATACACACAAACACTTGACACTCTTGTCTATGGATGAGTATTGTAAACGTAAGAGTAAACAAATATAAGCAGAAAGCTCCGAACTGCTAAGCTATCGTGAGTTACACGTTTTATTGTGAGTCAACCATAAAAGATAGACGTGTGTTGTTGTGGGATATTATTTAGATAATTTTATGAGAACATTTCCGTCATACATGATTTCTATGTAGCTTTAACTATTTAGCCTGCTCATGCGACGGATGCTTAAAAAATGGAGTAACCACCCATTATCAATGCATTATTTTCTTAGCCACATTTTAATAGAGGCTAGTCTATTTATAAACAAGTGGAACAGTAGTAAATGAGTCCTAATTAATAATTACACATTTTATGAGGAGTTCAGTAATAGAAAACCACCCAAGATAATAATAGGCAAAGGTGACAGAGTCACGTTTGCAGCCATTTCGTCAATTAGGTGAAATTGGAGTCGATTAATACATCTATTGTACTAACTGGGTAGCTAGACTAAATAATGGCGATTTGTTAAAGAGGTTTCAATTAGTTTTCTTGTAAAATTGTACTCCAATAACATTCCTTAGGAAAAAAAATATCTTCTGCAACCAAATAGAGTTATGATGGACCATAATTATTATTTGGCAACATTTGATACAATGATTTTGTTTATTACTTAGGTAGGTAAGTACATACATTGAGTTAGAAATGGTACATAATTCTATGATGTGCAATAGGTAGGTACATTTTAGGAAATAACTCAGCAACAGTTTCGTAATAATTTGCATCATTAGTGTGTATTCTGTATGATTAAACCATTAGAGCAATAATACAAATTGTTGCTGATTAGCCTTCATAATAATCATAACATAACAAATAAATTACGGATTCATTTCAATTTTTATTATTAAGTGGAATGAGCAACAAAATTGAATACATGCAAGAGATGTGTGGTAAACAAATAACAGAATTAAGCAAATTAATGCGAATAACTAAACACCATTTTTTTATTTGGGGAAAATCATCGAGTGACTTCTTCTTCCGCCTGGGTGAGGTGGGAAAGAGTGTCAGAATCTTACTAACAAAAACCACTCCGTTCCTACTCCTTGCCCTTCGAGCCAGAGCCCCAGCATCCCGTTAAGTCCTCCACGGCAATTAAACATCATAACATCTTAAATTTTAGACACATTTATCTGTAATCCAGCTTTCTAGAATTCTAGATTTGTTGTGCTTATAATAAAACCAACCAATAAATATAATTTAGTGTAATGTTTCAAAAAAATAAGTTTTTATATTGTTCATTAGGTAATAAATGTGTGTAAAGATAACAAGATTTATCAGTAGTGGCCTTTTACTAACAGAACTGATGTTTTACTGGCAGATGTGAGTTCTGACTCATTTATTAAAACAGTTCTATGTAGTGTATTTGTGTAGAGGAAGTCCAGCGGTCCTGCTAAATTACAAGGCTAAATATGACAACACCTAAACATTTTTATTGCTTTTAAAAATAATAAATATTATGCTTTCACATTGTTCTATTTAATTTATGTATTTTTGTAGGATAATTTGGAAAACGAGCAGATGGATCACCTGATGCTAAGCAATTGGCGTATGGACACCTGGAATACCAGAGGCGTTACAAATGCGTTTAGGGTTTACGAATTTGAGGATTGTTGTTCAGGGATTGGGGGTAATTGTCCAATTACCCGTCTAGTAACTGCACTCACAAAACGAAACAATAGGCAAGCATTGGCTTTCACCCCCAATTAAATTCTCAGAAAAGATATTTACGATGATTATCTATTCTATTAATTATAAAGAACATATTACTTACAATACCAAATACATGTTTTTATCATTAATGAATTATTATGTTTTATTTGACAATTAAATTAGTATATAGATTGATTAGATACACATTGTTGAAATAGGTGTGCATTCAATCCTTTGATCAATTATCAATCATTCATTAGTTACTGGTTACTGGTTAATGCTGATTGATGAGGATATAAGTAATTATTAAAAAGTTAATGAACCTGAACTGAATGTTACTGGTTAAAAACTTTTAGCATAAAGTTACCAGAAATTTTAAATTGCCCCTGAGTACTGTCAAGGACCTAGGTAATATTTTACAGTTCTACTAGTTAATAGAAATTATTATAGCAACAATAGAGAATAAGATGTCAAAGGTACTGGCTCTCCCTTTAGAAAACTATTTAACTACTTACTGATAATGCATGTTATATCTTATCATTCATGTGGGTGAATGCCCTTGTAAGATTTACATAATGAGTTACAGATGGAAAATAATAAAGTAATTAAATTACTAAGCCAACAGGAGTAAGATAAGCATTGTTGACAAAGTAGCATTAAGTAGAATTCAAAGTATTATGCACTGCCTGATCTGCCTCTCATTCAGTGTCATTGTCAGTAGTTCAAAAACAAAAAACAAAGATTGTACTGTTGTACTCTAAAAGAGGAGTATTCCAAAATACTTAGAAATGTTAACAATGGCTCTTTCTTATTACAAAATGTATTGTCAGTTCAGTGAAGGGTTTACTATTAACATATCAAAGTAAGTTTGGAATATGAACATTATGATTTTTGTAAAGAATAACTACATTAGATTTACTTGTTCTTTATAGTTCATATGTTTTCAGTGACATTCTTTTGCTACACAAAGTTAATAAGTTAAGAAATATTCTTTTTTTAAAAAGAAATAAGGGTCTTAATAAACATGATAACTATTCCTACTTACTTCTGTAATATTATGTTATAGGTACTATAAACACGAAAGTATGTTTGTTTATCTTTCTTTCATGTCATACCTAGATATAGTATTTACTACATAGAGTGTAATTTATGTAGTATGATTTCTGTGGAGAAATAGCAAGGAGACTGGATTGTGACATAAGCTATATTTTTCTTTCACTTGTGCAGGTGAAAAATTAATATTATTATAAACTTTAATCACGGAACTAGGTCAAAGAAAAACATATTTTAGATAACAGTAACAATAAATTGGATTTAATACTGATAAGAAGAATGCACTTGAAATATTACATAAAACATTCATAATAGCTTGTTTATCTTGGAATTAGAAGTGATTATTCAAGTTTAATGACATTTTTAAACATTTGTTTCACATCAACCTGAAATAAACATAACTCGAAACAATTTAATGAGAAGAATGGATCCCGTTTGCATTTCATTTTACAAGGAAATAAAATTAAAAAGGTGGGAAACAACGTAAGGGGTAATTGTTGTAAACATGTGGAGTAGTGATAGTAAAACTGTGACCAAAATAGTCTGTTTCTTCCTTTATTTATCAAATGACTTGGTTTTGAACTCTCAAGTGTTTTAGAGCACTCACATGTTGAAAGAAAAATTATTGTTTTTTATTGGATGAGAATGAATGGCTGAAGAAAGGATGGCTGGAGTATTTAACCATTAAATAATATTATTCATAGTAACTAGATACCTACTTATTATTTAACTGGGTGGTCTAAAGTTGAGAAACAAAATAAAATTGATTAGCATAGTTTAATAATATTAACATTTACATGAATGAATGATGTCTGCAATGAATACAAATTATTTTATTTATCAATAAAAGTACTGTACATGGAATGATAAAACTTCAAATATGGTTTTTACACTGAAAAGGCTGATATTGAGGAAAGTGTTTCAAATTAAATAATTATTTCTGTCACTTCTTGGTAAGGTATAATGCCTTATATGTAGGTATAGTTATTTATAATTTAAAACAACCATTCAAGTGTGTTTTAAATTAAACATAGGTCCTTAGTATTTTATTTCAATATATTTTATTTCAATTGTTATAAAAGGAGGGATATAAATACAATAGCTACCTATATATCATAGGTACTTGTGTCATGTTTATATGAGTAATGCTATTAAATAATGCCTTTTACTGACTGTTTTCCATTAACTAGTATACCTTTTTTTAGGTAAACAAGCATGACATTTCTCACACACAATGATTTCAGTTCTGGAAGGCATGCATGACATATACCATTCATTCATTACTAATAGAATTGGAAATGAGTTTTATTAAGTTTTTTTATTGCAACTTAATGAACCATTGAACTATGTGGTAACTAGTTTGTTATGTTTTTATAATAACTATCGTGAGACTGTGTGAGTGAGCTGCGCGACGTCGCCGCGACCGCGCACGCTGCTCATGAGGAAGAACCCCTCTGTGGTTCGAAACTAGTAGAGCTTTTCTCAGTATATTCACGTGAGTAACCCGCGTTTTTACTTAAACTAGTTTGTTGTTCACTAACAACAAAAGTGCTGACACAAACTAGGCAGAAACTGGCCCTTACTAAAATTAAAAATGTCGAATGATTTGTTAAAACTTCTTATGATAGGGACAAACATGAGTTCTTAACCTGCTGCAGAAAGTATTTTGCAAAACACAAAAGTTATTAACCCAGGAAAATTATTAGATAGTAGAAAGTGTTCTTTTATAAATTTTTTAAATTGTAATACCTTTACCAACAGTTATCCTTTAGTTCCACAAAAACCCTACTGCACCTTATTTATGCAAAGTAAGGAAGATAAGAACTTGCAGTTTTATCATTTGTTTGTTTTTTGCCAGAAGGCTAACCCATTTATAGTTTATCCTTATCTTTAATGATTACATTTACATAGGCTACTTGCCTATGCCTTAATATCTATTTCTACCATATTAGTTATCTGTGCTATTTATTTTGCAGTCTGTGATTTAGTTTAGGTTATGTTATGATGTGACAAAAATAGTTTTTGAACTTTTGTTGGATATTTTATAGGTATTTTCATATAAGAAGAACTTCTTGCAAACACCTATTAATTACTGTAAGTACCCACTGAGTAAATAAAAGCATAATAATAATTAATTACTTACATACAGTTCTACAGGCCACAGGTGTGTTGTTCCACAGCAGTGATGTTGTTGGAACAATGACAAGTAAGGGTGTTGCCTAACCACCACATTGTTATTCAATAATGGGAACAACCACTTGTTTACCATTACCAGTAGTTTCGTGCCAGCTGGTGCTGTATGCTACATCTAATTAAGCCCACTGAGCTAGTTTCGCCTTACGTTCAAGATAATTTACTAGCCATAGTCGAGTTTATTCATTAATTCCACGAACTATCACTGGTGCAAGCGCAATAAATCTCGCTCGTTTCACACGCTGACATGCACTGCACGATACATCTTGACATTTTGACACTGGATGGTCAACAGGCGTTGTCATCCGTTGTCATAATTTTAGGTCAAAGTACGATGAACTTGAACGCGCTTTACTCACCGTAAAATGCTTATTGCCGGCACTTGCTTCCCTACGGAATGCGTGCAGGCAGGGCCCGCATTCGCTAGGAAAGCATTACCCACTGTTTTATGCACGTTTGGAAAGTTTCCTCACTGGAAACCGGCCACGACAACAATCACTGGTCACACTGTTGGGTCCACGGGCACAAGATCTGACAATAACGTACTGAACAACTAAATATCACCACCTCTCATATAATCCACTGTTTTACAGACAAAAGACACAGGTATCCATGTATTGAACACTTTAAAAGTCACAATGCACCGCAAAAGTCCACTGACGGTTAAATATTAGTACTGAATTAATAGTTCACACGCGTATCTTGTCTAATTAAACTTGATTACTTTTATATAAATAACAACAAAATAAGAAAGGAACGTCGATCGCACCGTAAAATCCGAAAAACACAAGACGCGCAGCTGGCGAGCTGTCGCCTCTCGCTTGACTGCGGGGACAGCGGGTGTGCAGGCGGGTGGAGGGGCTTGCGACCGCGTCTACCGCGCCCCCTATCCTTCCCGCCTCGTCTCGCAAGTCATTTCATTATTACGTTACGTTCATTTTATTTTATTTTGAACCTGCATTCGTCTGCGTTCAGTATCCTACTGCAACGAGATTATTATCAAATGCATTCGCCGCTTGACAAGGTTCGGCTAATCCATTGGATACATATTTTTGACTAAATTGACGCCAAAGTCTTTAAATAGGGTTCCTGGAATGTATTAAAAATTACATTGATGTAACATGACATTATAAGTTATCTAGCTGAGTACTACCTACAAATTACAGCCATACATGTCATGTATAATATCGAACTAACTACGTTATACACTATAATGCATGAATGCACCGTGAGAACTTTTTTGTCGATCTAGCAATGAAAGTACCTACAGCGATATCATGTAGATGGTGATGCACCTTGTCGAACTATCATAGAAGTGGACGGGTGAGTTGTAGTCGACTGGAACGCGGTATGCGCGAATGGCAAAATAAACAAGCAGCTGTTTAGCAGATGAAAGCATGCGCACCGTGCAGTGGTTGGCCTTCGACGACAGAGATATGCCTTCATTGCATATTTCCGAATTAAAAAAAAAAACGATTTCGCACGGCCTACTTTCTGTTAATTTTCGAGAAAGTGATCCTTCATTGGCTATCTATCAAGGAGTGCGTCGAGTTTCTCCTTTATCATTACAGGGCTCGTATAACCACCCCTGTAGGGCCTGTAATTACTGGTAGTTTGCCGGCAGATGAGTAAATGCTTTAAATTCTGGGTTGTAGGGAAAGTGAAGTGTTAATGCGACAACTTGATCATAGTGTTTTGTACCTTTCTACCGGTGAACAGGGAAGGGATTCCGCGAACTTTTAGTTTGACCTCGCTTTAAACAGTTTGCAACGTAAGTAATTGGCCATTATATTATATCTATCATACTGCGAAGATCCTATTTATATTGAAGCCTGTTGGCGAGTCCGGAACCATCTGTTCCTGTTTTTGCTCACTCACTAGGTAACAATAAACTTTACCCCAATTCATGGAACGGAAGTTGGGTGTGGTTTGGGTGCGTCCTTGAGTTGAGTTCAACTCGCATCATTGGAACCGGAAATTTCTATTCCCATGTTTTTGTTTTGAATTTTTAAAGGGCCAAGTAGGTATTTTCTATTTCTGTTTAACAGATACTTAGATAAAGTATAGTCTGTCTGTCTGGTGCCTTAACTTCTTATCCAAGTTATAAAGTCTTTTCAAAAATATATTGTAAAGGCCAACACGAGAAATTAATGTGTTTGCATGCTACAGAATCAGAAATCCCTTATTATAAAACAGTGATGTCATAAATAAATAATGCAGCAGAGAAATATTTTAGATAAATATAATGTATTTGATGTAAGTTCACACAGTTCGAACGGATATCCTTTCTATTTTGGTCCAAGGATAAATGCTAATGGTACCTGCCTGGTTGGATAATATTTCACCGTTTGTCAACATGCCTAACGCTTGTACAAGCATTAAACTAAGAGACACATAATAGACGTTTCAGAAACTTTATGTTTTGTGCTTAAAGACTGTCCTAAAGATTGACTGCACGCCTACAAAATCCAATTTTGCTGGATATGTACCTCTATACTAACTATAGTACACGTATAATACGCAGGTTTTGACATACTCTTCAGTCTACATTTCACAATTAGGTCAATAGGGCTGTTGGAAGATCAAGCAATGTATATATGTACTGACATGTAGGTATATTTTTTTTAAGGAGGGAAAATCGTCGAATGACTTCTCCCGCCAAGGTGAGCGGGAACGAGTGCTATACTATTACTGAGTAAAGACCACCCCGTACGCCGCAGCCTCGGCAGTTCGTGAAATCCTCCGCGGTTAAACATAGTAGGTATAATACTTAGTATTATACTAATTATTGAAACATTATTGCTAGTTACAACACGATTAAAGTATGACTCTCTTATAACCTTTCATTGTCATCTAATTTGGTTTATTTGTTTTAATTGTTTTGTGGCTCTAAAACGCTCAATCAGACAATGGCCGAATCGTCCATTTGTTTGTCCCGTTACGAATACCAAAAATACTTACTTTGTAATTTTTAGCTAAACAAATGGTCTGTAATTTGCTAGAAGTGTCTGCGATGTCAAATGGGCATAATTTGCATTTTAACATAACGAAGAAAGTTTTTCTTTTGTTGATAGAAATATGCTTCTGGCAAATACTTAGGTTTCTCTGCTATGCTCTGTTACATACATTTACTGATCATTTTTAAAACTAGGTACTTACGCGTTTGCTTCCCCACGAAAATAAACTCATAAAATAGTATTTATGTCGATTTAAAAGCAAGAAGAAAACCTGATTAAGATGCTCAGGTTTACAACAATGATCGTGGAAAAAAATGTGTATATTAACGGGAGCAGGATTAATTTAATTCGCAATTGAAGTAACGTTTCTTTAAATCTTCATTACAAAACCTAGAGCCAGCGTTGTGGCATGGGACTACAATTTATTTATACCCTTAAAGTCGCATACCCGACGCGCCTTGCTCAAAATATCGCGTCGTGCCGGCGACTTCCGTCGATTCAAAGTCGACAACCAGTGATGGTGTTTTTTACCATGACACGTTCGAACACGATATTCAACTAAATGAAGCATTTTAACTAATAAGTAAAACATTATTATGTCAACATATTCTAAGAACAATTTGCAAGTTAATGGCTTGATTAAATTAAGGTGTGAAGGTAGACAGCTTGGTGCCTAATGAATAAGAATACCACTGTCTGATGTCTGTTACCTTCCCTGTCTCGACAATGTACTACAGTGACAAAGACTTGACTTAACAATGGGTTTTTGATTCTCATCCAAGTTTTGGGAACAATAATATTATAAAAGTAGTAGAGAAAGGAAGGAAGTGTGTGCTGTTTTAATTTATGGTTAAAAAAGAACATTAAAACCACAATAAAGACAATACACGACGATGTTTATATGAAGAACATCAGTTAGACCACAGGACTTAGATATCAAAGTAAGATACGTTTTCTAGTCTGCATCACTTTACCAAATGAATAATAATATATCAATTTCATAAAATTTCATAAAATTGACATATTTTTGGTGACATGCCTAATGGAAACACACAAACGTATTTTTTCTCCTGGTAACTTTTTATGTTCATATTGTCCCAAGTTTTCGGCGGCAGACGATGACTTATCAGACGGTTGAGTGGCGGCATTCTGTTCCTCTCTACGCCTCATGTGCTTGAGAGCTAAAAGTAACAGATACGACGTGCCTGCCGAGACAGAACCAAAAATAAATTACCTTTTGATATTTAGGCAATAAACTTCTCGCTACACTACACTTTGTATTACATTTAGACACGATTCTTTGTTTAAACAAGAGAAAAGATTTATTCATAAGGAAAACCGGTTTAATAAAGTCAATAAAATTACAAAAACAAACATAATTAGACAATAATTTATAATCTCAACCGCTAGAGCAGGAAAATTGTATAATTTGTCTTGCTAAATTTAGAGTTTATTTTTAAATGATTTAAATTGAAACCGGTAATTCTGGTTATTTTCAGATAAATCACTCAACCAATTAAGGGGACATTAGCGAATTGAATGGCGTGTATCAATAGAGAAGCATTGTTATGGGTTCATGGTGGCACGGACCATTTAACCTGCCTTATCAATCGGTAACGGTCGGCGCTAGGGGCGGAGGTCAATGCTCCCACTTTGTTGTTACCTTTTTAGACTAGTCCGCTATCCCAGATATTATGTAATAAAGTGATAGGAAGTTTATATCATCGTTTTCATATTAACGTAGCTCAGTGCTGCGTGCCGATCGTTTGATTACCCTAATTAAGTTTATCTTTATGATCTTTGCTCAAGTTAAGCGGTTGCTGGGAAAATTCAAAGTCATTTTGACTAAAACTAACGTGACTTTACGGTATTTGTTATGTCGTTAAGCGAAACTAGTTATTTTTTAAATTTAACGTGATTTAAAATAATAAAAACCAACCTACAGATATTGTGCAACGAATACGAAACGACTAATATGAAAGAAAACGCAGTCTGTGATTAAATGGAGTTTGGGAATAGGTAAGGATAAGAAAAAAATGCGACAAGCCCATAAGACTTTTTAATAAAAGATGTTAGACAAGTTAGTAGACATAAAAGAACCAAAAGACCAGACGTCCCATTACCTTATTTAAACTGTCAAATACCAAGCGGTCACCGGTGACCGCAACCTATTGTTCTATAATTGTGTCTACAAAACCGGTACTCGACGAGTTAAAAAAAAATCGTTACGTATCCGGTTTCTTTATGGTTCTTGTCTATTCGAAATAATTCGAATTATTTCTTTTGCGATTGTCCCCTCAATGCGAAAGGACGTTACATGATATAAAGCAGGAACAGTTAGCCGTTTTACATTGACCTATTTTGGTATACCTAGTGGACATCATGACACAATGATGGGTACTACAGCTGCTTTATACTAGGTCAAGAGCTTTTTAAATATTATTGATAAAATATTGATAGCATTCCAAGGAAGCATATCATTATTACTGGATCTTGAACCAGAGAAAAAGCTGCTCTGACAAGCCAATTCTATTACCAACAATCCGTGAAAGTCCATCTGCTGGACTATCTCCTGGTCTTCTCAACATAAGATATACCATAATGTCCATACTCGGTAAATGGTTGAAGTTCAAAATTTAAAGGTTCAGGTTTATTAAAGAGGTTAGATCTTGCTAAGATTAATGTCGTTACAACATAATAACATCACGCCTTTTATCCCCGAAGGATTAGGCAGATTTGCACATTACGGTACTTCATGTCACTGTACAGTGTAACACCCACTTTTCACTATTTATGTTATGAGTCCCATGTATTAGGGGGTGAGCCTATTGCCATATACTGGGCACAATTCCTGACTCACTGCTACTAC